ATTCATTTCATATCCCGTTTCTTCGGTTAGCCCAGGTTCCTTGTTGTTTTGGATCTGATATACATAGAGGTTTGGCTTGATGAGTTAATCAAGGTTCTTGTATCCTGTCGTCGGTATTCGGTATGCATGGATAGATGAATTTTGGGAGGGGGGGTGGTAGATGCTAGTGTGGGTTTAATGGATGTTTTTGAGAATCGGCAGGTTTAGCTGTTTGGGATTGGTCAGATACTGTACCGTAGGCTTTTGACTCGGCTTCGGTAAGGTAACTACATGACTCTGATATGATAGCAGTACTAGTAGTCTTTTCGGCTTCTACCTCTAGGTCTACCTATTACCCGGGTAGTCTTTTCCCACCTCGCTCAACATCACATAAGGCGAAGGCTCTTACCAACCAGTGAGGTACTTGACTGAGATGTACTCGAGACCCAACCCAGTACACCAGCTCCCAACGAAGACAGAAAAAAGTCCTACCTCCCACACACACTCTTACGCAGCCTGTACTGTACCTGCCCCTTCAGTGTCCTACTCATTCAGCGACAAAGCCGACATCGCCCGACTCGGCGCCGGACGATCCAGATCCTGGGTCTTGGTGCAGATCCACGTCGACGCGTACATATTCACACTGGCCATCGACCGGTCACGCGTTAGCGAATGCCACACACACAATCTCTCATCCTCTCTGTAGCCACAAGACCGGAAAAACTTACCGATCTATACAAGTCCCAGGGACTCTCGCCCCGACCCGCCTCGCGGAGAACCCGTTCGCCTCGAAGGACCGGATATACCAGGGGTCGATGCTGGCGGACCGGAGGAGGATGCGGCCGCCCTTCTTCAGCGCGTGGTTGAGTTTCTGGGCCTGGGCGGGGCCGGCGTCGCCCGTGGGGTCGAACCAGTCCATTGAGTCCATGATCTATTTTATGGGGTGTTAGAGTAGGGTATTTTTGGAAGGGAGGAGGAGGGTAACGGACTACTGCGATGGTGAGACTCTTGGGTGTGATACGCTTGATGACTTCGTTGATCTCGTCGGTGTGGATGCGGAGGCCGTCGAAGGCGCCCGGGGAGGAGAGCTTGACGTGGGCTTTTGGGGTGAGGTAGGCGGGGTGGCATCTTTGCGTGATTCTTCAGTATGTGTTCGTACGGGGATGGGAAGGAAGGTGAGTGAGGGACTGGACTAACCTGCGGGAGAATTGGCCCTGCAAACACAGGAAATAGAAGTAGTTGTCGTTGCTGATGAGGGTGTCCTGGACGACGGGGTCCAACGTGTCCACGACGTACTCCCAGATCGACTGGCCGCTGACGTCCTTGGCCTGCTTCATCTTCTTGTTCAGCCCGTTGCGCTTGTAGAAATCGTCGATAATCATGTTGCGCTGGTTGCGGGGCACCCCGGCCGCCTTCCAGGCGAACCATTCGGTGCCCACAATCGCCCAGTGCAGCGGCTTGCTCATGAGAACGGCGCGGATCTTGGGCCAGATCTTGCGCTGCTCAGCCAGCGTCTGCGCCTCGCAGAGCTGCTGGACCTGGGACTGTAGCCCGAAGACCTTGAAGAGGTACCGGACCATCTTGATGGCATGGCGAGAGCCGCCGGTCTCGTACAGGCCCTTGCCCGAGGATGAAGTGAAGACGTGCGTGTGCTCGAGCCAGTATTGGAAGGCTTGGCTTGAGAGATGCGGGCTCAGTTTGGTGATGAGGAGCCGGCGGAAGTCCGGTTGTTTGCCTTCGCCAAAGATCTTCCACACGTCACGGTGGCCCAGTGCGATGAAGCTGGCGACCTTGAGCTCGAGAAGGTGGTTTTGATTGGGGTTCAGGTCTACTGCATGCACCCGGCGGGGGCTCTTTTGAAGGTAGTCCAGGATGTTGTCGCCTGCACTGGTGATGGCGAGGATAACGTCGTCGCGCTGGATATTTAATAGTTTGTGGTCAACACGCGGGTCTTCCCAGTTGAAGGCATAGATGTACTCGTTGCCGAACTGGGTGTGCTTGGGAAGAAGGTCGTCATAGAAGATGCGGTAATGGTGGTTCTGATAAAATGACGAAGGTAGAGGAAGGTTGGAGCCGAGGTTGATCACGGCCGATTCGTACGCTTTGGATTTGATCTCCTGCGTGCTGCTCACGATAGCCGCATCCATCTCGCTCCGATGCTTCGCGGGAGAGAGGTACGGAGACTCCGTGAAAGAGGCGTTGAGCTTCTCAATGGCATCGCGGCCGGAATGGGTAGTGGAATCCTTCTGGCATCCCACGAAGATGTAGTAGGGAATTCCACCCAACAGATAGTTCCTCTCGCTGGCCGAAATCACAGTTCCGAAGCGGTACTCAAGGTAGTCACGACGAGCAGCCTCAAGACTGACACGGTCCGCGTCGAACCAGGCACGCCAGAAGGCTCTCCCAAGCCAGTTCACATGGCGATTGAAGGCACCGCCAATGTAATTGCGTGAGGAGACGTCTACGATGCTTTGAACTGCGCCAGAGTCAATAACTTATGTGCCTTATAGTCCTCACTCTGCATACCATAGAAATCACAAACTCCCACAACACCACAAGGCTTGATCAGCGCAGGCAATGAGTCAATGACGCTGTAGTAGTCTGCACTAATCAGCATACTCCTTCTAAGGCGGGAGAGGCTACCTACCTGGAATCATAGACAAACTGTAGCTCATGGTCGCCAGATCAGCGCCTGGCGCCGTGGTGGTCTCGCAGCGCGGCTCTACCCTGTCCTCCTCGGGCAACCGGAAGGACCTCGCGTCCTGACAGACAACGCTGACGTTCTTCCAGCCGAGTCTCTGGAAACGCTGGCGGGCAACCTCACAAAGGGAGGGAGAAAGATCGACTAGATAGACGTGCGCGAAGAAATCTGGCACTGAGAGGAAGGCGGACATCGCTTCGATATTATATCTGATGACGCAGTCAGGGCATGAGCCAGGAGGGGTTACGGCTTTGATTGACGCTCACCCAGTGCCTCCACCAATCTGAGCAATTAGCAAATGTGCATGTCTAAAACACCAAAGAAAGAACTCACATCGACCCAGATCGCTTCACCAGTTTTGAGCTCCTGGCTGTCAACCTTGTGCTTCAATTGTGCAGCAACAAGGCCCAGCATGTCCTCGCGTCCGCGGAGGAGGCGCTTGCGAGTGGCATCGTACACACTGGCCTTAGGAGGACTTGTGTCAGTCACGGCCCCGCCTTGCAAGATGACACGCTAGCATACTTGGGTCTTGTAGAAGCTCTCCAGTGCATCCTGCTGTCCACTTCCGTTCTTCTCATGAGGCTTGAGGAAGCTTGCGTAGATGAATTTGAGGTAGGTGAAGATGCCACTATTGTAGTCAACTTTGCGTGTTTGCCGGGAGGCAAACAGAACTAGCGCGACAAATCCACAGACGGTAAATGCAGCGCAGGCAATGTAGACATGAAGCCAGTCCATGCGTCCTAGAAAGGGGCCCGGAAGGTTGCTGCTGGCGAGAAAACTCATGGCGCACCAAAGGCAATGAGTTGTACCGTACAAACACAATGCCTTCCTGTAGAACTGAGAGAAAGAAATTGAGTCAAACTTTAGACGCTCAACTGCTCCCAGCTAGGGAGGGGAAGGGAAGGCTTCTTGAATCAACGGCTCTGCAGCAGTTGAGGCGCATCTTTTTTTTTGGCAAAACTGTTTGCCCCACTGATGAGCATGACCCCGCCATCTCGGACAGAATTGGATTTGCGTCAAAGATTGGGAAAGATGGACTCCAGAGAGCTATGACCCTATCAAGGAGACACATGGACCCAGTGGGAGATAAACGGAAGATTAGTTAGCTGGTCGTTAGGAAGAGATAGAGTGGAAGGAGGAAGCTGAGGTTGTCCAGTTCTCCAGTTCTCCAGTTGACTGCAGTGCGGGCGTATACTTCGGATAGACCAATCAGCGACTGCGCTGCCGGCACGCTTTCGCGCCTGCCCATCCCTCCTCGGCCAATAATCCCCGCACGGCTGCCATGTGTTGCTCTTCTCTCGTTCATTTGCTATCTCGCTCTCTGGAAGAATAGAAGGCATGCTTGAGTTTGAAGTGCTTTTCTACAGAAAACACTTAGTACCTCATACTCTCACTCCGCAGAGGATTGCACAGGGAAAGCAGAAAGACCCATCGATATATGTGAACGAGCTCGCTTTCATTAATGGTCCAATTTGAATAGAGCTTGGAAGCAATAACATCGCTCTATGCAAGACAGACCAACTGCAGTGTCGCTGGCTGCAGCCCCGTGCTAAAGAAGGAAGAGGGGACTAATCGAATGCCGCGAGTAGCGCGGAATCATCTACTGCTCCTATTTTAATGAGGAGTAAGGTACGTACTGTACCTTACCGTGGGGCTGGACTCGACAGCAGGCGCGTCTGTCAAACAGCGATTTATGAGTCAGGCAAAAGTCAAGGAGGATAAAGCATCGTTTCTGTATCAGCCCGAAGTCGCAGCAATGAAGCCTAGACTGCTGCTGACTTGGCAGGAACTTCATTCGAGGGCATTTGAGCCATGATCTGTGTGAAACCTACAATGCTCTCGCAAGGAGCCGGCTATTTTCTTCCTCACGCCATTGATGGCTCCCTTAAGAACCAGGATCAATTGCCACCTGTCTCTCGTCCTACCACACCAGCCTTACCCACCATGAGGCAGACCATGACCAGCAATTCGATCCTACAAGATGGTAAAGCCATTGAACGCTTTTGGAGTTCAGGTCAGCCACAAAGTTGGAGCAAGATCACAAAGGATCTATACAAAGACCAGGGACGCGGCCTTAGACGCAACAGAGAAAAATGTTGAAAATCCCCGTTATCGTATAATCAGCCTCAATGATACATTGTTGCAAATGATGGACTTATGGCTAGCGACCTTGATGATCACCATATTCCATCAATGCAATCAGAATATGTGAACGTCAGCTCAGGGAACCAGAGCTTGAATCTCTCATCGACCACCTCAGACCAAGAAACAAATCCATCCAGAAACCTGGTATGATGGCATTGTTGCTTTCTTTATGAGTGTACGGCATTGTGGTCCGATATTCTATAAGACGCAGCCATTGGAATCCGCCCTTGAAATTGAGTGACGTTCCTAATCTTAAACTTGCCACTATACCTGCATTATAGCCTCGTTTATATTTCATCAAATACGACCACAATGGCTGAGCGAGGGACATCCGCCATGGCGACACCCAAGCCTGCCACGTTCCTCACCATACCGCCAGAGCTGCACCTTCACATAATCAAGCTTCTGGATGCCACCTCGCTCGTGCGATTGGGTCTCTCACTCCCAACAGGATATGGCTTCATTTGGACCGAGATCCAGAAGAGAGCCAGAATCGGTGCCCTCCCGTCTCAGGAAATCTACGACAAGCGCATATGGTATGGGGACAACGGTGAGTTACAAATCCATCGCTTCGCTGGAGATGCCGAGTGGAGGAGATCCATCCGTGAGCCTCTTGCGGAAGCTGTTTGCACTGGCGACATCGGAGTTGTCAGATTCTGCCTGGAAGCCGGGATTAATGCCAACTCAATTGACCTGGACGCAGTCCCAATGCTTCATCTCTCCATCCGGGAACGCCAGTATCATATAATAGAGCTCCTGCTACAGCACAATGCTGACCCAAACGTTGTTGGTCCAACAACGGGGCAGATGGCATTGGATTATGCGGTGGGTGGGCCCCGTGGCTCGCCTAACTGGGTTCTTGAGATACTGCTAGCGGCCGGGGCCAGGTTCGTTCACGACTCCACCTTTATTATCTGCTGCACTCAAAGCTGGGGGCCGGCCTTTTTTCGACTGGCCGCCAAGAATGGAGCGGAGATACTGCCGAAGGCTCCTGATTGTGATTTCAGACTGCAGGCTGCGTATAAGCTTGCGCGCGTAGAAGTGATCGATTGCCTATTTGACCTGAGACCGAATCTGGTGGCTGCGCGTCATAAAGGATTGTCTGCGCTTGACATGGCGCTCATGTATGGAAGGGAAGATGTTGCGGTCTCCCTTGTTCGCAGAGGTACACCGCTAGACACCAGTGCAGAAAAGCAATTGACCCTTGCTATGCGCTATGGACATACGAAACTTGTCCGGGAGCTTTTGAGGCATGGCCAGCTGGCGAAACAATGCCCGACATGTAAATGTGCTGCCATTGACCTGTCGGAAGAACGCAGGCGGGAAGCATCTAGAATGACCAGCAGTAAACAGCGTTGGCTCAAAATGATATCATAGACTAATCTAACATGAAGTCTTGCCTCCACGAGAGAGATGAACTCGGAAAGCACGATGCGAAAAACGAAAACGGGTGTACCACCGAGAGCAGTGAAATGTGGGGGGAAAAGCCTACCCTGGCAATGTTTTCCTGGTGATCCACCTACATGCTTCAAAGCTACAGTAATCAATCAATCGGGCGATAAGCATCGGTTCCCGGCACATCCACGGATAAATGATCCGCATGGCAGAAAAGTGGCTTGGCTGCGTTCCTTGCAATCGATTTTGTGAAAAGTCGATCTATGTACTTTCAGTAAACCCGTCAGTACATCTGAGCAGAAAGAATTATCCTTGCTTCGCTGGCAACCAACGAGCTGCCAGCCACGTTGCGAAGCCTTAGGTGTGGACACTACATGCAGTGGAGCCAAATTCTATCCGTAAGCTCATAGCGAGGGACCTTTGGAGTGTGGTTAGTCGATCAGGGGGAGAACCACAGACGCTCCCACCGGGTTGCGCGGCTGATCGATTTCCTTGGCCAGTTTCTTTTCTCCACTATAGCATAGACCCTAGAATTGAGAACGTCGTGACAAAGTGATTTAGAGTGTGTCATCATGGTTGATAAATCACTGTTCGGACATGAATGAGTGCATGGGTGCATTGCTGACCATTCCGTCGAGTCGCAGAAGCGCCGAGCTAAAACTAAGCAATCCGCATGTCGACTAGTCGTCATATGCAGGATGCGTAGTGATAGAGAGGAAGCCGATTCCGTGCATTCACACAAGTAATGAGCAACCTATGCATGAATACGTATCGCAACTCAAGAATGCCAAGTCACGGCGCGTACTGGGAAATTGACAGGGAGCGAACATTCGCCGTCCCCATTCCCTGCTCCGATGGAAGATAGCTAGATAAGCCGCTTCACTGAGCTAGTGCATAGTATCTCATGATGACGCCTAGCTGATACTGGCCCAGATTGTTGAGACCCAGCTGCGATAAGACCAGGGCTCTCCGATCACTCGAATTGGAAAGTCGCATGGAATCCCTTGGGAGTTTCGGACATGAAATGCCTTGCCGGCCGAAGCAGGTGTGCAAGAAGTGAGTTGGCGCAAGGTTCCCTTCACCGTTCAGCCTGACTCAGGTCAAAGTTCTGTTGAATTCCAGCAGGAACAAAGGGGGGGGGGGGGAAGGACATTCCAGGAGGAAAAAAGGGGGGGGGGGGGAAGGACCCCGTAGGGTATGGGGTCTACAGCGTATATCAGAGTACCTTATTTTAGGCGTTTGGAGGATCCACCGGGGAAGCCGGCGGCGGCGGGCGGGCAACCCAGATCGACCTCACGTGCCCCATTTCTCCCCCTTCCCGTCTCCATTTCACCGCCCTCTCAAGTTCTCAACAGTTTGAGGGACTCGTACTTCCCCGGCCCGGTTGGTGGCCAGATCAATCAGGCAAGGAGCCTGGTGGCATCGGCTTAGTCCAAGGTTACTATTGGCGACCATCGCGGTGATCGTTTGCAGGCCTACCAATCAGCGTGAAGCGGAACATCATCAGATTGTCTGGACACGAATCCTCGGTAAATACTCAGTAGTTGTTGAATCGTCTAGCTCGCTTCTCGAATGTTGTTGGCTGATCCTGCATTGCGTCACGGCTCCCTCCTCCACTCTCTCTCTGAGTTATCACGGAGGAAGTTACGGAGTGGGAGTCAAACGGAGTATACTACCACACTGGAAAGAAACCCTGTATTACCCTCGTTTCTGTCTTTCACAAGCAAGTTGCAGCTCCGCGTTTGTACTGGATCTCGTTTGTAGTCACTACCAAAAAAGGAGCCTATCTCATTTGCTGTACTAGTAGGATTGTCGTATGCTTGCGCCAAGTCCGGGGCGTTTTGTTGAAGCTGTTTCTGATAGGATGACGCGGAGAAAGGTGGTTTTAGGACTCTTGATGATCTTAAAATCATCGGGAGGGGTAATCATGAAAAGATCCATGACACCATGATACGACAATCGACAGCTTTCCAGACAAGAAAGGATCAGCTCCAGTAGAGTAAGTACTGGCTGATATGCAGAGCACGTCCACCAGCAGTACCGCTGATGCCGCAGGTGGGGAGAGGATGTGAGAGGGGCCCCAATCTATCTGCCTCGAAAAACAAGCACATCCCTGAAAGTAGCCAACCATTCAACTGACAATGAACTAACTTATCTGCTCCCGGTGTACCGGAAAGTTAGTGATTCGTCCGCACAGGAGAGTTGATTGGCTCCTCCATACATGCTTGTGCAGCGTACTCTGTAGCGCCGGCAAACAAATCCTGAAGGTATGAGAGAGAGAGCAAATATGCAGGCCGGTTGGAGGTACATACAGTAAGTACATTACCTCTGCAGAGGGCAGGTCCCGTCTTGGGTGGTATGTGGTCTGTAAGTAATGTAAAAATGTAAAGAAATAGGCAGAAACATGCCGAGCATGGAGTCAAGTCAATTTGTGTAGCTTACCATGGTTGACCCCTCCCATGACCTGTCATTGCCCATTTCTGGGACAACTGGTTAAATGATGAAACTGTTGCCCTCTAAGACCAACTCTCCAAGATCCGAAACCCCTGAGGAGCAGATGCAGAGGTAGAGGAATCAGTGAGAGGCCCAAGACAGAAGAGATGAGAATAAGATCACCACCAACAGTAATACCCAAGCATTCTGATTTCCTATTTTGTCCATCAGAAGAGTATACTAGGTAGCTAGTCGGTCGCCATGCGAGTTGGTGGTCCCATCTTAGTTACCACTATTAGACTTGGCTAGACCGCCCGCCCCCAGTGTGGTCCCCAGTAGTGTGGGTGGGTGGGTAAAGGGAAAGGAAGAAGCAAAGTAAAGCAAAGTAGAGCAAAGTGAAGTAAGGCAAGGTGTAGGGCCGCCGGGGCTGCAGTGTAGGCTGTAGCTCACTCAATTCACTCACCCACCTCTGCTCCCCCCCCCCCCCCCCCCCCCCCCCCCCCCCCCCCCCCCCCCCCCCCCCCCCCCCCCTCCCAACGGGTTCCTGCAAAACGGCTGGTCATCGAAGTGCTGCACAGTCTCCGTACAGCCAGCTTCCCCAGGAATTTAAACTTGGCTCCCTCCCTGGTTTTCCTCCTCTTTTCTCTCTCTCTCTCTTCTCCTCCCATTCTCTACTTCTACTCTTCTACTCTTTCTACTCTCTTACTCTCTTATCTACTTCATCTCCATCTTTGGTGACTGTGTATATACTATACTCATACTCGCATTTTTCTACTCCAAGCTTACCCTGCCCTTCTTGTTTACTGTATACTTGGCGCTGCCTTATCCGATAACCCTACATACCTTAGCTCAACCATCTCGGTGAATCTCTTATATCACCTGTCATCATCACCTACCACCTCGCAAAGAATCGAATCTATCGATTATTTCCAACAATCCACAATGGCAGCTCCTCGCTCAAGTTCTTTGCGTGCTCTGCGTCTGCTCTCGCAGCACCATTCTGCTACCCTCCCCTGCGCTCGCCGGGGTCTGCACATCACCGTTGTCCACTCGGCGCAACCGGCAAATGTCTCCGACCGAGCCTCTCTGTACTCCAGCCGCACCATTACTGATCTCAAAAGTGAGTGTCACAAGCGCTCCCTGAGAAGCAGCGGCACGCAAGCCGAGGTAAGTGCCATACTAAGTCACACCGTGCCCATGAAAGGGACACACACCGAACCCAAGCTTAACTCGCAATCCAGCTTGTTGAGCGTCTTCAGAACCACGACTTCCTCCAATCCCGCGCCTTCAGCATTGCCATGCGCCGCATCAGCGGCAATGCCATTGCAGAGTAAGCCCCCCCCCCCGACCCTCTTTTCTTCCTCGGGTAAAACTGGAAATCCTCGGAACTGACTTCTCGTAGGGAAAATAGGGAAACCCACAGCCGTCAGTTCAACACTTCCCGGTCTATGAAGGCCGTGGGTGACTCATCGACGGTCGACTTCGCCTACATGCCCTCACTGGCGGAGCTCGATGGCCCGGCCGCTCGCGCCGATCCGCAATTCCCGATTGTCCCCGACTTCTACTCCCACCAGAGCGCAGCCCCGGCAGATTCCCCCATGAAGCCCCAGATCTACACCGTCTCCGGCGGGGCGGCTGATGTCTCCGCCAGTCCGATGACGGAGGTCGTCGACAACCACTCGGTGGACATCGATCCATTCTCGCTGACGGAGGCGGTGGGTAAGTCCCGTTTTGGGGCGGAGTCGACAACCCAACAGAAGGAGCCGGGGGTGTTCCGCGAGCTGTGGACTGGTGTCGTGGATGACATCTTAGGTAGACAGCCGGCTGTTGTCAGGAAATGATGTGTCCACCCGGGTGATCGGTTTATCTATGTCAAATTGTCTTGATTGTCTCTAGCGATGCGTGATGTCTGTTGTGTTGCCTTTTTGTTTACAGTCATCTCGTGTTATCACCAGGTTAAGTTGAATGTTCAACAATGACATATCTATATCTTAGCAAAAGGTCGATGTATGATGTATACACAATGAGGTAGAACGTCAACCAATCCAACCATCATCCAGCACACGCGACACGTAACAGACTAGTGGCTTTGCATATGCGTGATCATAGACATGTAGTAGAAAGCTCCGATGAACCGGATCAATCCTTCTCGAAGGACTTAGTTAACTACCCCGGAGATTTGTGTCCGCGCCGCCGGGGAAGTACCACCCAAGTCCGACCAAAGGTTCCCACTTCCCACACTGCACCCCATATCTTCCCACCCGGAAATCTATGGTCAACCGTCAACGTGGGAAAAGAAAAGAAAAGCCACCCTCGGCAATGAGGGATAAACTTTATCGTGAGCAACCTCCATGTGTGTACTCGGGAGATGAGGTAGATCTCGGGTGGAAAGTCCATGATGTCGGCCAGGTGGAATGATCCCCCCTCAAAAGCAAAGCATCAAATATTATCCGATATCTCCCGAGGGTTTGGGAATTGTGTTCTTCCACCACCCACCCCATTGTTTGCACGCATGATATCCACTGTGGTGAGAGGAGCAGGGTGCTCCGGTCGAGCAAGGTTTAGCGAACTTCGTTGATGATCGTCTGATCGCTTCCCGGAAGTACACATATGTGCGCAGGCCGTCGACTCATCTCTGGGTCTGTTGGTGTGTTTTGGGGGTGGGGTGGAGGTTGTGAGGTACGATTGGATTGTGCATTGCTTTGCCTTGTGCATCGAGGTTGCGAGCATGCTTTAGTTGTCTATATATGGTGATGAGGCATGATGTACAAGTAAGCGTTTCCTTGTGTAGGGTTACTTTGATAATGTGTAGAGAGTCCAGACGCTCATTATTATTGCCGGCCCGGGGTGATTGCCTGCCTGCCAAATCCATGGTTTCGAATAGGACTAGCGCGGTGGCCCAGGCCACCTCGGCTACCTGAGGATAAATGAGACAGCTTATTTTTATTTAGAAAACCGCCTACGCTCCCTTTCTACACATACGAGTGTTTCTCCTTTTTCAGACCTCTGTCATCACCAGTCTACCCGATGGGGGATTGCTGTCGAATTTATTGGGCCAATTGAAAGCTCTTCAACCCCTTCCTTGTTCTGTCTTCTCCCCCTCTCACGAGAACAATTCGTCCATGCGTTGTGTGTGGAGAGAGCAAGAAGGCAAAGGGCGATGCGATGTGCTGGTGTGACGTTTATACGGTGGAGTCTCGGTTTACTCCAAACAAACAGAAATTGCAAACGCAGTTCGTGTGATGTTTCAGATGAGCTGAGAAGACGAACACCCTTGCACAGGCAGCACTGCTTTATTTAGCAGGGTTTTATGACCTCACGACTTTGGCCAGTTTAGGCTCTGTGTGCTGCCGTGCTGTGCCGTGCCGTGCTATGCCTACAGTGCACAGCAGCCACCTTCAGTCAGCACTGCGCCCACAGCATCAGGCCCGGAGATTGAGGTGGTTCTCGAGGAAGATCTGGCTGTCCATGAGATCGCGATTGCACGGAGCGTACCGTAGATGAACCCAGCAACTGGCGGCTTGGAGTTAGTTGTTTTCTTCTCTGACATGTCAGCAGCACTGCCGATGTGATTATTGTAAGAAATCGGCCTCCTTGTGCTCATGCTCTGGCATGTGGAACGATATTGGCCTGCGACACTTGATGGGATCCACTGTTGTTGTTGTTGCCAAGTGACGCAGCCCAGAGTGACTGGAACGGTCGACTGCAGGTCGAGTGCAGAACCCCTCAGTGGCACGCACTTTGAAGAAGTCGTCGTCGTCGTCAGCAACGGTTGGAGGCGATTGACGAGTATGCTCACACATACATAAGGTAAATAGCTCTCGAATAATTGGAGCATTGGATATTCGCATTCTCACGACATTAGCAGATAAAGATGTAGTACTTAATGTCACCTGCAATTTGTGTATCTTCATTCCCTTTGGTGCAGGGTGCATGAAATTGCTGCTACTGGCTTGGCCAGACTGGCTCCGACTCAGGGGAAAAGATCTGGGTCTGGATCGCAGGGCGGCAGCCAGTGGCAGCCAGTGGCAGCCCGTCCTCCCGCTCCGAAAACCTGCCGAGTGGAGATCGAGCATAAACGCATAAACGCATAAACTAAAAGTAGCTTCCTGATTGTCCCTCCACATCCACATCCAAATCCACATCCACATTCGATTCACATCTCTTCTTCTTCTTCTTCTTCTTCTTCTTCTTCTTTCACTTGCACTGTCTTCTCAATCTTGATTTTTACTACCCTGTAAAGTACACTCTTTTGCTGCTGCATCCGATCGTTATTCTCCGCGGTTTTGCTCTTTAGCATCTCGTTTGCTGCATTGTTTGTTTCGCTGCAGACTGCTAGTCGATCTTTTCCCCCTCTGCCTCGGATTTAGAAATCCACAAGTCTATCACTTTCTTCACCTATCTGATCCAGAGCAGTATTCTGTGGTCTAGCATACCTTTGTAACTTTTGATATTGTATCGCAACTGGACCCTCTTTCTCTTCTCCGAGTACAACCAAAGCTGCCGGCACTGATCAACATCGAGCCGTCTTGCAAATGAGTCTCAGGGCCATCTCTCAGGGCTTCTAAATCGTGCTCGCATCATGCATCCAACCGGATGTCTTCTTGTCGCGGCTTGTATCTGGACCGCGGTCTTTGCCTTCATTCCTTATGAATTCAACCTCGATCTTCCGGCCACCAAACACACCCCGTCTCGTCGCTTTCTGCCGTGGGAATCACTGAGCGATACACTTGCCAAAAGTCAAGCCCAGGCCAACACCGACACGCCCATTACGCTGGATGTGAAGAGAGCCCCTGTCCGTCGCAGCAATGACTTCGATATCGTCCTATCCAAGACGCCCTCCTGGCCTAATACCGCTGCCCTCGACCAGAACGGCAATGACCTGACGTATTTCGCAGTGGTTAAGATTGGCTCCGAAGCGCAGGAATTCTATCTGATGCTGGACACGGGTGGCACGAATTCGTGGGTCTTCAGCTCCGACTGCACCACCAAAGCGTGCAGCATGCATGACACCTTCGATGCCACGACCTCTTCGAGCATCAATGTGACCACAACGGAATGGAGTGTCGGCTACGGCTCCGGGTCCGCGAGCGGCGTACTGGCCACTGACAACGTGACGCTCGCAGACGTGGAGGTGCAATTCACGTTTGGGCTGGCCACCAACGCCTCGAACAACTTCGAATCGTATGCCATGGACGGGATTCTGGGCTTCGGCCGCTCCAACGACACGGCGTACAACACTGCCACCTTCATGGACGCTGTGGCGGACCAGAAGAACTTCGATTCCAACGTCGTTGGCTTCGCGCTCTCGCGGACCAAGAGCGGCGAGAAGGACGGCACCGTCACGATCGGGGGAGTGGACAAGGACAAGTACACCGGGGAAATCTCGTACACGGACACTGCCAGTGAATCAGGGAACTACTGGCGCATCCCAGTCGACGATGTCTATGTCAACGGAGACGCCTGTGACTTCACCGACAAATCTGCCATCATCGATACGGGAACATCGTACGCCATGCTCCCCTCCAAGGATGCGAAGACGCTGCACGCGCTCATCCCGGACGCCACCGCCTACGGCGACTATTTCCTGCTTCCGTGCAACTCCACTGCCAAGGTCCAGGTCGCCTTCTCCGGGGTCAACTACACCATCTCACCGGAGGACTACATCGGCTCCGAGTACAACTCTAGCTGCATCTCCACGATCGTCAGCTACGATCTGTTCGGAGACGACATCTGGCTCCTGGGCGACGTCTTCCTGAAGAACGTCTATACCGTGTTCGACTTCGACGCGTCGCGGGTGGGTCTGGCTGTCCGTGCCTATAACAAGAACACCACAGCCTCCAGCTCCAGCAAGACCAGCAATTCATCCTCTGGCACGTCGACCGGGTCTACTGCATCTTCTAGCTCGACCAGTTCCACCGGTGGGGTCGCCAGTGGCGCAACGTCCCAGTCGGGCTCCAGATTCTACCTGCCTGCGTTTGTGGTCGTCTTATGCACGGTTCTGCTCTAGACGGCTTCCAACCAAACTTTGGCTTTCTTGCACATATTGGGTAAAAGACCATTTCAATTCTTCATCTACTGTAGTAGATTGCGCCTCTGCACGAGCATTGCCGAAGATAACCCATGTGGTAGTCTATTAATAGCCTACAAATAGAGTTGATCTTCCTGACCCAAACCTTAAATTCCGAGCTATCGTTTCACATTTCCCTTACCACAATTATGTATACTCCATCTATACAGCGTGGCAGAAGGGCCCACTTACATGATCGCATGACTGCAGACTATAGAACGCGATCCGGTATCAACGTGTACGACTTGGGGTATGATTCTGATCGCAACCGTCAGCTTTTTGTTCCCGACCTACACATAACGCCACTCTTCAGCGATACATACCTAGACAGTCGCGATCAAAGTCCTCGACGCGATTGAACCCCGCAACAGCCATGAGGATATCAAAGTCGGCCAGCAGCGACTTCATGACGTGGCGCACGCCCTCCTCGCCCATGATGCTGAGGCCCCAGACCCAAAGCCGGCCGACGAAGACGAACCGAGCGCCCAGCGCCAGCGCCTTAGCGACATCACTGGCGCCGCGCACCCCAGAGTCAAACATGACATAGATCCGATCCCCGACGGCGTGGACGATATTCTCCAGCGCATCCAGACTGGCAATCGCCCCGTCCACCTGCCGCCCCGCGTGGTTACTCACCACAATTCCATCGACCCCATACTCGACACACTTCCGGGCATCCGCCACGGACTGCACCCCCTTGATCACAAACGGCCTGCCCCCCGAAATCTCGCGCCACCGCGCCATGAGCCAGGGGATCTTCTCCCACGACCACGCGCGCCCGTGCCACACGGAATCGATCCACTTCGTCGCCGCCGCCACCTTATCGGTGTCAACATCGATCCCCGCCTCGCGACACCGCCGGCGAAACACGGGGTCCGAGAGCCCCAGATCCGCACCGATGCCGCGGTAGAACGCATAGTTGGAGTTCGCGACGTCGTCGTGCCGCCACCCGAGCTGCCACGTATCCGTCGTGAGGAGCAGGGCGTCGAAGCCCGCGGCCCACGCGCGCTGCAGCAGCGACACCGTCAACTCGTCGTCGTGCGGCATGTACAGCTGGTAGAAGCGCGGGTTTCCGGCGCCGTTGGCGCGGCCCACGGCTTCGATGGGCGTGCTCCCCGCCGTCGAGAGGCAGTAGGGCAGGTTGAGCTCGCCGGCGACTTTGGCCACCGCCAACTCCGCGGAGGGGTGGTAGATCGCGTTGATGCCGATGGGCGCGAAGCCGATGGGCGCGGAGACGCGGTGCCCGAAGATTTCTGTTGTGGTGTCGCGCAGGTTGGTGTCGATCAGTTGGTTGGGGATCAGGCGGTGGCGGTAGAAGGCTTGGCGGTTCGCGAGGTGCGTCGTCGACTGGCCCGCGTTGGAGGAGGCGTAGTACCTGTTCGTGTTCCAGTTAGATCTCGGGAGGGGGAGGGATGGGGAAAGTGTGGAATGGGCTGGGGGCTGGAGGCTAGAGGTGAAGGGAGTGTAGCTTACCATCCTCCCAGGCTGAGTTTGCGTTTCGCCTCTTCTTCGAGCTTGGTGGGATCTAGAGATCGTGTTAACCGGGGGAGGGGGGTTCTTTCTGCGTCCATGCTTTCCAATGTTGCTGTATAGAGTCCAGCCAAGCACATACCTGTGTTGAACGGAGGGGCCTGCCCCTCGTTCGCCTTCCAGAAGTTCTCGCGCTGGTATAATGCCCACTGCGGGGTGGTGCGTTTCTCGATGTTCGGGTTGTTCGGGTCGCTCATTGTGTTCTTCGGCTGTCTTCGATGAGGATGTAGTCAATGATTATCTATGGCTTCTTTAGTATCGAATTATTCTAGTGGGCATGCTCTTGGCGATTGAATGGGTATTTATAGAGATATTTCATTGTTGTTGTAGATATGAGTAACTCGGTATTATCCGGGTCAGGATGGATGACTTCACGTTGACGCATGACGCACTTCGCACCTCTCGGGCGAGAGGACGATGTTCCGTTTGGTGCCTGAATCCGGGAGAGTACAATTTCAGCCAGGCTGGATGACGGAAGACCATTAATTGTCCGTATCCTGGCTCTTGTGGTAATTCTTTCCCCCTTTTCAAGAGGTGATTTTCCATTGGAGTTGTCTAAGGGCTAGGTTGAGCCGTTCCGTTCCCAACCATCCATATATTGTACAGTACAGTAGGATCAAGCATTGTACGGGCACAGAATCCCGCCATCCATTCCGATTACTACAAGTAGTCAGTCAGTCATGTATATTCATCCAACTCCCCCAAGCCATAGCCTTTACTCCTCAGAGTCCTCAGATTCCAGGCCGGAACTACTCCGTCACACTATCCCGCAACCCGCGCAGCGCACTCGGCTCCCGCGCCCCCAGCGCCGCCGCCATGGCCGCCGCGTTCTCCGACCGCCGGCGCGCGTCCGTCCACACCATGAACTCGCTGTACGTACGCGGCATCACCTGCACGTCCTTCTCCACCAGGAACGTGTAGTTGAACATGCCCGTGGGCTTCTTGGAGCCGTGCTCGACGTCCCGCACCTTGGTGTCGACGCGCACGCGCACCTTCGTGTACGGGCTGCCGCCGATCTCCAGGGGCTCGGTGTACGCGACCGTGGCCCGCAGGTACAGCACGCTGCCGACGGGCACCGAGTTCTCGAAAGTGCTGGGGTCCAGGGAGACGAAGTTGGGGCGCGCGTGGCTGGCCGAGGCGGCGCAGCAGAAGGCCAGCTCGAAGGTCTGCTTCAGCAGGAACCCGCCGAAGATCATGAAGTTGTGGCGGTTGCGGTCCTGCGGCTGCATGATCATGGCGGATTTGAGGACCGAGTCGCTCATTGCGATGGTGTTCGAGGGGCGGATGGCCGGGGAGGAGGGGTCTTTTTTCTCTGTATTAGTTGGGTTGGGGGGAGGAGAACGAGGGCGAACGGGGGTTTGGACATACTCAGGTAGGACATCTCCTTCGTCCACATGGCATGGATCAGGTTACTTTCGCGCTCGTTAGGCGCCTTCTCGAGGAGACTCCGCGTGCGAAGGGCCTTTTTGGCTCGCGAGTTCTCCTCGCCCTTTTTGTAGAGGAGGCGCTCTTCGGCGGTTTCGACGAGGAGCGGCGCGATGGGGACGGGTCTGGGTGCAGTTTCGCATGGTGGTTAGCAACGGTTTCATTTGTCGTTGAGAGAGCGACATACTTCTTGGTGGCCGGATCCAGCGACACCATCGTGAACGCGCAAGTGATAAGGACGTCCTCGGGCTTCGCTTCCTCGCCGGCCGGCGGGGCTTTGGCCACCTGCAGCGAGACCTCCATACTCGACCGCCCCGTCGCGTAGGTGACCTGGCCGCTGAGCTCGAGGTCGCAGATCTCCATCAACGGGTGCTCGATGGTGATGCGGTCCACAGCCGCGGTCACCGTCGTGACGTGGTCGCCTGTGTGTCGGTAGGCGATGACGCCGGCCAGCGCGTCGAGATCCATCAGCAAGGATCCGAGTCTGTTTACCGGTTTAGTTTTATGTCTTCAAGGATTCCCTTCCACAGGCTATGGAGGGATAACGCACCTGATATGACCCGAGGCATTAAGATATGTGTCCAGAAGCCATTTATCTTGCGCTAGGGGGAGAACCTGAGATATCGTTAGTGACCCTGTCAGTAGGTTCTGCGGGGTATTTCACGAACAGCCTTGTAGTAACTGTCCGACATCCTCTTGGGCGTCAGATCGGGTTTCCCCGACGTGTAAGGCGCACCAGCCTGTCCCGATTGCGCCGCCTCGCGGCTCTTGGTCAGGGCCTCGATCCAAGGGGTCTTAACCCGCATGGGCAGCCAGGTCGGAGGAGGGTGAGCTGCATTGGTGGGGCTGTTGTGGAAGTCCCGACTTGCGAGCAGTGACGGTGACAGGGCCGGGTGCTGCTGTGTGGTGGCGCGGTTGATGGTGCTGGAGAGGCATTTCGAACGAGCGACGGCGGACCGTCTGGTACTGAGACCGAACATGACGATGGATGTGGTGTCACTAAGCGTAGCTACAAGGCTAAGAAAATCGGATGAAGAGAAGTTAAGGTCATGGAGGCCCGACGATACGAGATATGTACTGTAGATGAAAGGCTGCCTCGGGCTCGGCAGGGACAGGCCGGCTTCGGCTTCTGTCGCCGGGGCAAGTCGGGAAGGCACAGTCTTGGAGCCACCCGCGGCATTGGGGATGGGGAATGGCAAGTATACAATGATGATGCAACAATAGTTCGTAGTATTCGGACACTAGACTACGGAGTAAGCGATTGCTCTCCCCGCATGATTTTCCCGATCTGGGGAAGAAATGGTGCCAGCTGGTTGCCCTGCAGTAGCCCTGCAGCTTCCGTAGTCCTATGATGACATCATCACTTCCGGCGAAATTCTTCTCGTCGCCGGCAAGAAGAGTCTGAGAACTGAAAGTGAATCTTCTTCTTTCTCTTTTGGACCGTAATTTTTTTTTTGTCGGAAAATCTAAAATATGTACATCAACCAACCCCAACACCAGCTAAGTCACGAAACACAATTCATGCCCCTGGCCTATACAAAATGCTCCCCCCCCCCCCCCCCCTCAAGGTGGCCTGACTCAATGACAAGGGCTGGCTAAAAAAAAAAAAGAGAACAAAACACAGAAAGAAAACACAACGACCAAGTGTCCTGACACAGTAGACCCAGGAGTTTTTGCATATGCTATTTGACCCCAAACAAACATGGAATAATGTTGGAAACCGACCGCACCCCGTTGCCAGATAGATTTGCCGCCACCGTTTCCCCCAAGCCCGGCCCCCTAGACTCCGCTTGTTTTGCCCAAAACCGATACATGGGGAGTAAAGAAACAAGAATGAAAATAAAGAAGAGCATGCTGTCATGTCACATAAAATTGCCACTGATCCAATGTCTTTGGCTCATATGTAAGAAAGCCAGACTCATTGATATGGAACCCCCCACCGCCATATGCTGCATCCGCTAAGATGTTTCGATATCTTCGAGATCAAAGTGATATCAGGCCGACGCCTGACTGAGGATGCTCGCTTGAGTTCGACTCGCTGGAAGCAGTAACGGACGATCGTTCTTCTGACTGATGTCGAGTCGATACCTAAAATGCCGGCAGCCTTTGCACCCAGTCGGAGGAGTCCCGCGTGTCGAAATGTGGCAGGAAAATCATCGTAACGAATCTTGGAGGCTGAAGCAAGGACTGCCCAGTCGAGCAGTAAGGCCTTGGTTATTCGATAAAAGATGTGTCCGTAACCCATCGAGTAAGGGATGCTTTGATCCCACAAATCGACATGGCGGAGCCAAGCTAAATGTCAGCAACCACCAAGTACCTCGTTAATCTTGTTGTTCGCAAGCGAGACACCTCCATTCTTGGGTTCGGGCGGCGCTTCCTCCTTCATGCATGCATTTTCCAAGATATTGGTCCACTTCCCACTCGTGCCTGCATGGCTGTGCTTGAGATGCTGGCGGAAATGGTCTGCACGGAAGAACTTCTTCGCATTGTTGCATTCACCGAACTTGTGTACGACGGTGAGATGCTCGAATCGACGGTCCCAGTCTGGTTGGGGATGATTGGGAAACTCCTCGCCGCAGTAACCGCAGGTGTCATGTGACGGACCGGCCCCGGTCTGCCCAGAAGTGGACGAGGGATGGAATGCTGCTTGGTAACTCGATAGAGCAGCACAGGACCACGAATGCCGTCGCAAGTGGAGCGAGTTTTGATGGCGTTCGGCCTCGTTCTTGTTCTTGAACCTATTGTTACAATAAAGGCATGAATATTGCTTCTCCATCTCGTGCGAGCTATCCATCATAATAGAGTTAGATATTTCCCATAATGAAGGCAGAAAAGAATAGCAGCTTACCGGAGCTCTTCGGGGCTATCGAATTTCTTCGGCTTCTTGGGACAGCAATCGCAAATATACAATCCGCCAAGCTTGGGTCCTGTAGGCTTCGGTGCAGGATGATTCGTCTGCAGAGACATTTTGCGCGCGGTTTCGACACTCGAAGGTTCGATAATGCTAGGTCCTTGGATGACTCGTGCGACCGGTGGTGCAACTATGCGAGCGGGTGAGGTCGGATTCATTATGGATTTGTCGTGAAAGGTATCAAGGTCAGACTTGGGTGAAAGCCCTCCAGGAGACCGGTCATAGCTGGTCATACTACTGCCTCCCACAGTTAGTCCCGCCGACGAGTAAGATCCGGTCGTTCGGATACTCAACGAGGAGGCCGCCGAATGGCTCCCGTGACCGGCAACATAACCGGAATTGACTGTCAAATTGTTCGTGTATGGTTGACCACTGGTTCTTCGTTGAGTGAGATCCCCGTTGCTGGTTATGATATGAAGTCGATGTCGATCGTCGCCCATAGGCTCACGAGGAGGGGATGATGCTCTTCTTTTCAACCCCGAAGATTTCGAAGCATCTGAATACGGCGGCGTGGCCTCCCGAAGATAAACCATCCGGGACGGGAGCGATTCGTCCGTGGAGAAATCACCTTCAATGTCTGAAAAGACGCCGTGATCGTAGCTACCTCGGTGTGAGCGGCTGGGAAGGCTGATGTTCTCGTCATATGAAGGTGTTGTTCCACCGCGACGGCGGTATACCTCTCGCAGATACCCTGAATGGTCGAGATCCACTGCTGATGACGGGGCGCTACTCTCAACACTGGGGCTGCGGCCCCCAATGTAATCCCTCCATCCAACCTTGGTACCTGGCGAGACTCCCCCTGATTGATAGCTTCCGGGCCCGGGCCATCTTACGTCGAGAGCCGAACTATCAGAGCCTCCAGGCGAAGGGATGCCGCCAAAGTTTCGGGTAGGAATCGTGAGTGTTGAAAGGGTGCCTCTAGGTTCGCTTCCACCGCTGATAGACTGGCGAGGGGAGTGTGGTTTTCCGATTTTCGACAACAGGTGCTGATCGTACGCATCTGATGAATCCTTCACACTTCTTCGCGAGAAGTCCCGCTCTCCTTTCAAGATTGGACTTGGGCTTTTGATAGACATCGCATTCCGAAAACCCTCGTCCATGGGAGGTGGGGGTTCGATCCGAATGTGCGCTTCAGGGCTCCTGGATAGTGGGAACCCACTCTGCCGGCCGTCTAAGTCGTCGAGAGCCATTCGATCACTTAGCGACACTGGTTCAGGCCGGCGGTGACCACCGAACAGGCTCGAGCTAGGATTAATGGGGGCGAGTTTTGTCGTTCCTCGGGAGTTCGCGTGCAACCAGCCAGCGTCGTAGCCGTCTTCGAGATCACTAATTCGGGGCGGCGGTGGTAGTGGCGGAGGGGCGAGATTCGGGGTCAGATTGTTGCGAATAGGCATAGGCCCGTGAGATGGATAGGAGTTTCCAGACATCGTTCCTAATGGCGTTGCAGGAAAATATGAGTTTTGAGGCTCGGTATCCTTGTTAAAGTCGTATATGTTAATCGAAGGAAGCGAGATTCGCGGCAAGTCCATCGTACACCAACAACCACAAACAGCTGCTCATCGACAAGCCAGAAAAGATCAAGCTGAGGTAGAGCTGAAGCGTGCTAGTGAAACTCGTAGTTTGAGGCTGAGCAGAAGTGGCGACGTTCCGATGTGCGCCCGTTACGGCCGCTATAGGAGTGGCTGGCTAAACAAACTTCCGACCCTGGACAAAAGCAACTTGGACAAAAGCAACTATGTCGAGTGCCAAAAAGCAGTTGCAGGATGACCAACAGGCAGCTCGGTTTGATTCAGACGGCTAGTCGGTAGCTATACCGCACTCGCAAGGTTGAGAAGTTGTCTTCGGGTGCTTGACAAGTCAGGTGAATATGACCTCATATAGCTAGGGCAGAAGGCAAGTCGGCGCCTTACCTCGGTCAAGAGGTACCTGAATGACTTCCGAAGTCGAAAGAGGGGAAGAGTTAAAAGTCCTTGATACCGATGGGGTTCTTTCGCAGTTGCGCATTACTCCGGAGACGGTTGTGTGCCATCAAATCGCCAGCAGCGGCAACTTATCGACTGAATACGGCGCAGACACGGCCGAGCATACTGAGAAGCTTTAGAAGAGTAGTGCGATTAAATGTGGAATTCTGGAATATAGCCAGGAACGAAAAGAAACCGAGAATCGGTCGACCATGCGAGATCCTCGAGGATTTAGAGGATGTTAGTTCTTTTCGAATTACTCTGGCCTAGATTCAAGTCTGTTCGACCAGAAGACGGAGTAACCGGAAGTTCGGAAAAGGGCAAGCAGTAGAAAGCGTGAGAGAAGGTGGGAGCTGTAAATGAATGGAGAACGGAGGCGAAAAGAAAGGAGAATCGAATGTCACATGCAGCTGCTTTCCGTAACGAGAAGCGAAGAGAACCAGGTCAAGGGCGGGTGGAGGAGCAATGCGGGCGAAGGTCAAGGTTGGATGGAAACTTAGGTGGAGAAGAGGAAGAGAGAAATACACCAGGTGCTGTACTGCACAGCAGTTATGCGCGGGGAAAGAGAAAGACAGGAGCTGTAAGGTAGTAATTGTAGGTGTTGGTGAAGAGTGCAAGTAGTAAGTTGAGGCGAGTTTGGAGGTGGGAGAGAGAGAAATGAATAATGAATGGGTGGTGCAAACCCCAGTCTTATTGGTGGTCCCTACAAGGCTCAAGGGCTCGTGGGAGGGAGTCCAAAACCACTGACTGTCTGTCAGACCCAAGGTTAAATCCAAACCAGATTCCCTGGTTTCCCCGGTTGGTCTCTCAGTCGTTTTGTTTTTTATTTCTTCCTTTCGTGTAAGCGCCCAGTAGTGGTGGTGGTGGTGGTGGTGGCGGTAGGATGAACGAGGAGGAAAGCAGCTTATTACAGAGGGAGAGGCAGAGGCAGAGACAGAGACAGAAGAATGATGATGATGAATGGGGTGGAAGAATTGATTTGGATGACTGAATGAATGGATGAAATGAAACAAAATGAAATGAAATGAGAATTGATCAGGAAAGGACACAAAACCCAGATGAAGGTATTGGTTCCCCCAGCACTGATACCAAACCTTGTATTTGTATCTCCGTTTCACCCTACAGTCTGGTCCGGGTGGACACCTTCCAGGCTTCGCTCAACCCACCATGTCACAGCAATATTAAGGCATGGATGAGATAGATGGAATCGATGAGAGTACTATTGCAAAGTAAACAGTTCTGTACATCTTTTCGTCAATGTATTTGGTTTTCTGCAGCAGCAATATCTACTCGAGATACAGTTTCAGATCGCAGGTCAGATCAGATACCATCAATACTCGAGCGGTACTACCAAAGTTTAAAATACGCGGTCCCATACTTCCGGGGGCACAGTTGCAATTACAAGCATACAGTACCTCCAGAGTACACATACCTGACTGACTGTAGCTGTGTGCCTTCGCGCAAGGCAATTGACTGCTCGATCAATCCTCCATTCAGTCATTCAACGGCTCATTGATTGTCACCGATACATGCGATCAGATCAATGACCATTATACAAATCTGAGTTAGACCCAGGACCACACACCGTTTGGCAGAAGGGGCCGACCGGCTGGTAGGTATGGATCAGCCGGAGTTTTAGTCGACACTTAATCTCACAAGTGTCAATTAGCATCAGCTCACTAGATTGTACTATGAGTAGTACTCCAAGCTCCCCATGCCTGGATACAACACCACGAACTTCGTACCGTACAGTATGAGAGGCAAAAAAGTCATGGATGTCGTCAGCGGTGTTTCTTCCGGTTCTCTGCCTGGCCAGGGAAAGTCTAATCCGCCTTATGGAAATGTATAATCGGTGTGTTCGGTATATTCGGTTACGACGTGCTGCGTACCTGTCGGATGGTTCTTCCCTCTGGTTTTCTGCCTCTATGCAGCCAGCCCTGGCATTGGCTCACAGCAAAAGTCCATAAACATCCAAGAAAAAGGGGGCCCAGGGGGTGAAATAGTGGTGGAGGTAGGTTTGGTTCGTTCGTTCGTTCGGGATTGGCTCTATTCTCGTCTCGTCACGTCTCGACTCGACTCGACTCGACTCGCTGACTGAGTGACGTTTATGAAGTTGTAGTGCAGTGGTAACTGTTTATATGTCTTTGTCATCGAAAGCCCAGCGATAAGGCTCTTGGGATCCTGCATTAACGACCGATTCCACGTGTTTGATTCTCAGTGTACTCCATCCACAACAAAAGACGACACTACGACATTCTGCCACGAGAGGATCATTGAGAACCAGGCAGCATGGGTCCAAGCGAGTCAAGCGTGGAGCTTTCTTGACCTTCACAGCTCGAGGACTGATTCTGGATCTCGAGCGGTGAAGGGCATGAACTAACCGGATTGGTGGTGACAGTGCAAGGACAACTGGGGGTGGAATGAGGCAGTGCTGGCGGGCTCGGACTTAGTCTCCTCGAATCCCAGCTTGCTTTTCTGGTTTGGACGAACTCCATCCATCCATCCATCCATATCCAGTCTTGCCGGTGCGGAGCGTCGTCAAAACAGTCGAGGTACCGGATAGAGCCGCCCAGGGTGGGCATTGGATGGACTCAAGCCAAGGTTTTTTACGTATGCTGTTCGGTGGACTTGCCCACACTTTCTTTGCTTAAACTTGCACTTTCCCAAAAACACAAATCCTGAAGTAAGGTCGATTTTACCCTCATGTAGTGATAAGTAGGTTGGATCTGGCTAGGTATCGTGTGGCATCGCCGCATGAGGAAGCTCAAACTACTGCGGGTCAGGGCCTCTTTCCTGGGAATCGCAACGATGCAAAGGTCTACTACCTTTCTCTGCTCTCTTCCTATGAGTACTTCCCAGTCATCAGTCCTTCGCTATAATACCAGAACCAGACCATAGAGATCAGCTTACCCGCATTCCCAGCCGTACATACTGTACATAAATTCTGCAAAATACCCACGATCCCAGTTTACCGTTACGTTTTTTTTTTTTTTTTTTCTGTTTCCTTTCCCTCCCAAAAACGCTAACATCCCCAAAGCGTCCTCCCGAACCCTCCATCCTGCCACTTTCTCGAATTTTAATCTACATGACGACCTTACCAGGCTGGTTGGTACTCCGTACCTTCTAAGGGAGAGGAAAGTCGGGTACCGAGTACTCTCTCCATGCTCCACCGTGCGTTGTGCGGACGAAGCAACAACAATTGTAAGTGGCCCTATTGGGCGTGCTCCACCCCCCAGAACAGTCTAGCGCGCCCCATTATATGCTTTAGATACATGCACTGCCACAGTGCTGTCATTTGGCACTTCCCCCCCTCCGTTGTTGCGCACCTTTTTTTTTGCCATCCGAGGTTCTTCCTTTACTTTGGAAGAATGATTATGAGCAGAGAGATGGAAGTTGTGGTAGCGAAGATTGGAATTATCCAGAATGGAAAGGGAAAATATCAGAAGCCAATGCTAAAGCCAAAGTCCTGGAGACTGAGAGAGAATTGATCTAGAAGCCGATGGTCAGGCAATGGGATGATCAATTGCGAAAGTCCTCAAGCAATGGATTTATGAAGGGCCCGGGAGGCAAAGAGAAAAAAAAAAAAAGAAAAAGAAAAACCGCAATACACAAAACACGAAAACAACTCCTGCCCGGAGCGTCTGATCTTGTTCTTGTTTTGCTCAACTTGTGGACGGTGGACCTTCTGACTACCTCTTATTGCTACCCCCTACTCCGTAATTTCTCCTTGCCAAACACGATGTATGTAGTTTGTCGATGCTCACTCGTGTCTGTGGTCATTATTGCCCGCCTCACACCGGATCGGATTTAACAAGCGATGGGTATAGCTCTGAGGGGTGAAAGGGGGACACGCGCATTTGGAATGACAAGGCAACTCACGACGCACAACGCACGAATTATGCTCCTTACTACGGGTACGCCTACTCATGGACAGCCGTGAAGGAGGGGTATCATTGCCGTCGGATGCCATAACCTCAAATCTTGCTTTTGGCTTCTGTTTGGCCACTACGATCCCAGGTTCGCTCTGATCCTAGACCAACCAGATTTGGGATCTTGATGGTGGCCTGAACTTGCAGCCTTTGCCAATATCAAGAGATTCTAACAATGAGGCTGCGCTGTAATGACAGGCCACTACCTGATCATCTTGGGAAAGAGGTCTTACGCGCCGTGACAATCAACAGGTCGAGGTACGCAGTGGCAAATTAGACAGGGCGGGCTGGTTCGATCAAACCGTGGCCCGCTTTGTGTTAGCGAGGAGACAGCGAGGGAGATCACATCCTCAGTCTAATAGAGGGTTTTGCCATAAGAATTGCGGAAACAGGATCATCAGAACCTGGCGCATCATTCGCCATCCGCGAGGACAGCCCAAAGAATAACCGGACGGATGACCTGGCACATCACCAGTACAGTCTTCGATCCTGGTTCAGTGATTCGAACGTTTCACTCTTACCAATATCATTCTATGCCCCGTATCTATATATAGGCGACCGGACCTGGTCAGCAAGTCATCTGGTCAGCTTATATGGAAGCCGTGCACGGACGGAGAGACCTGCTTCTCTAGACCGACAGGCCCAAGAGGAGATGGGACAGGAAGAGAACGACAAGGCCGGGGTGGGACACAAAACCCACGTCTTGACCATGGCCATGTGTGTAGACCAGAAGAAGTAAATAAAGTAAGGTTTTAGATTGAAAGGGTAAACCCCGAGCTGGAAGGGACAGACGACGAAAAGCGCCGTCAGCCTTAAGCCTTAAGGGGCTGCAGTATACCGCTAAATCCAGTCGTGCACAGGCCTGGGTGCTCAATCAGGTAGTGACATGTATCAAAGGGCAGGCTTTTTTCAGTCCTGTGGCGTAGGGCGATGCAACAACGGAAGGATGGTAAGAGCGTCGACGTCCAGTCAAGCAGACCTGAGACGTTACACAACGCGGGTACGCCATTCTCAATAAGCAGGGTTGGATTATAGCTGAAGAAAAAGTAGAAAGGCTATTCGCATGTGCTTGATACTAGCCATAGTTAGTTGATGTCTCGGAAAGAAAAAGCGCTAGTAGTACGGAGTGATGCTCTGCATGAAGAACAAACACTAGATACCCACGTAGCGTGCTGCAACTGCTGCCGTTTGCTGCTGCATATTTAGTCGCTTTAAATCATATCATGGGGCCCAGACGGTGCGTGTGGATTGTTTAACTGGTTTGGTTACACGAGAATCGTTGATAGTAATGATGCAGCATTAGCAGCAAGCCTACCTCAGGCAGTATTGCTCGCCCGAGGTCCTGCTATATGCTGGGTAACGTACATAGAATGACATCGCCTTGATTGGCTGGGATCGTTAAGCGACATCAAGCATTATTTACCTCGGAATAGTGGCCTAGAGGTGCAGAGACCAAGAAGCCTGGGTCCTTCTTGGCCCTGTCGAAATGGTCAATCTCCAAGACTTGGATTATGCTCGGGGTGGGAAAACTACGTTGCCCCAGGATGTTTAGCTTCGCTTGGAACCAGGGAACCCCATCTTTCATGCTGAATTGACATGTCCCCATGTCCTTATCATTGGCATCACGACCTTCCGCCTCCAAAGGACGAAGAACAAATTAACTGACCCCAATTCCTGCTTTTTAGGCCTTGGCGGTGGTTTGCGGGCCAATCGTTTTTACGAGTGATTCACGATGACAGAGATAGCGGGATGGCCTCTGCAACCCATGAGTGGATTGGCTATACGATGATGCCGATGATGCATGCGATATGCTGATGGAGAGGGTCTCGAATCTGACAGTTGCTTGTTGGGTTTCTGGGAGTATCTCCCTTAAACATCAATGCCTTGGGTGCTGCTGTCGAAAGTTGGAAATGTAGCTAGGCCTTGGCATTGTCGCCGACCATGCTCGCACTGTTGGAAGTTTTTCCCCGGCGCAGGATGGCTAGGCCGAACCAGGTTTTCTGTACATTGTCACACATAATGATAAGAGGAATCTGGGAGAGAATGGAATGATAATCAAATGTGCTACCGCTGAAACAATGACGATGACAGGAGGAGACGGTAGGTTGTGTAAATTATCCGCGGCGATGGCCAGATCCGGATGATATCCAGAAGTTCTTGGCTTCCATGGGGTGGATTGGAAAGTGGACCGACCAGCATTGGTGGGGACAGCGAGGGTTGGTTCGTGCCTCAGGTTCAATTCCCCGTTCCCGGACCCCGGCTACCCTTGCCCTTGCCCTATACCCTAGTCCCATATCTTCCTGACCGCTTTCTGGATTCTGAGATTCTGCCCAGAAGACCCCTCTCGCCGCCTGGCATCGACACGGCTTGACGTTCTGCATCATATCATTTTCCAGCTTCTCACTTAAATTGGTTTGTGGTGCACTTCCTAAATATAACGTTGTATAGGTCGTCTACAACTTCTTTACTATCGCTATGAACAAGATACCTGGTCACAATATCTATGTTGGGGGGTGGGTTTCCTTCCCTATACACTCTTGTTTCCACTTACCTCTCTACCTTCCTTTTCGACACGCCACTAGAGAATTAGCTTCTGGGGTCAACTGAATGAAAAGGAACAGTTGTTAACAAAGTCTGCAGGGTCCTCTCACTCAAAAACAATGCGGCTTTGACTCGAGCAAACATCACACACATTGTTTCGGTGTTACGGCTCCAGCAAGCAGATGAACTTTTGGCGCCTTATCAACGTCATTGCATAGAAGTTGACGATGTTGATGACGAAAACCTGTTGGAGCATTTCCCCGCCGCCGTCAAGTTCATTCAGTCGGGACTTGACAGCGGGGGCGCGGTGCTTGTGCATTGGTAAGTCATTGTGGTTGCAACACCCCACGATGCACTAATTACTACCTTCGAATACTAACTCCTCCCGAGTGCAATGGGAAAGTCTCGTTCTGCGACTGTGTGCATTGCCTACATGCTTCATCAGCAGCGTAGTGCGCTGACCCCGCAATCAGCACTTACCATCATTAGAGAGAGCCGGCCTCTCTGTGAACCCAACGATGGCTTCATGGAACAGCTCTCGCTCTACCATCAGATGGGCTGTCCCGAAGATGTCACAAGCCATCCTTTGTACAGCAGATGGCTTTACCGCCGGGAAGTCGAAGAAAGTGTCGCCTGCGGACGGGCACCTGAAATGAACAATGTTCTGTTCGAGGACGAACAGCCGCACAGGCCACAGGAATCTACAGGTCGTACCACGGAGATCAAGTGTCGTAAATGCCGGTTGGTTATCCTTATTTCCTTTCATTTGCCTTTATGACTTTCAGTAAGCCAAGGTTCTTGATTTGGAAACCTCATTGACTGAATATCCAGACGCAAATTGGCAACCACACCGTTTGTCGTCCCTCATGGACTCCAGAAACCGGGCGCTTCGCTCGCGAATACCGAGTGTGCACATGTTTTCCTCCATCCATTGACCTGGATGCGTCCGAGTCTCTTTCCAGAAAGCGAGTCGGGTGATTCTAGTGCACCGCTGGGTTCCCCGTCAGCAGACGCTCCGCTATCTGGTCGTTTGACCTGCCCCAACACCTCTTGCGGCGCCAACATTGGAAAATTTGCCTGGCAGGGTATGCGATGCAGCTGCAGTGAATGGGTGGTCCCCGCCATCGGCCTGGCGAAAGCTCGAGTAGACATCTCCGAGCAGGTGAATACGATCCGGGGGCCAGCCCAGGCAGCCTTTGGCATTCGGCTACCGCCTGGAATGAGACCTAGTCCCATTGACGAGACCAATGGGCGGGGTAACCTCTAAGCTTTCCAGCAGGATTCTACAAGGCAGCAATCAGGCTTTGATCGAACCGAATCGAGTGTTGCTGACATGCCAGAGGGTCATCACAGTCACATGGTGAACACTTTCAGCCTCGCATGGGGAGGCAGTAAGATCGACCGAAGTTGAGTCGCAAGCAGCAACGCCACATCGAGTTTAGTTCATCAAAGTATGTCCGAGAGTCCCTGCGGGTGCTTGCGTGGGTAGTTGAAAGGCAGAACAAAAGACAAAGCAAACGTGGCAAGCAGACAGTCCCTCGCTGCGATTCGCGGGTTAAAAGGGGGCATTTAAGCTTTATTCGTGGCCAAAACCGCGGGCCAGGCAAGAAAAAAGGGAAGGGACATGCGCAGGTTACGCACACGCATACGATATGATAGACCTAAGTCTAGGCTCGATTGATACTGGACCGAAAGGTCGCGAGTTTAAAGAACGAAAGGACCCTGATGTCGATCCTTTAGCGGGGAGAGGGGAAGCTATGAGACAGTAGTCCTAGCGCCGAGATGACCTCACCTTCTCTAGCTCTTATCTACCAGCCAACCACAGTCATGTATTCAATCGACGCGGCGCCTAAGCCCTTCAACCTTGTTAATCTGATAACGTCCGATCACCGAGCAATTAATCAATTCATCAATCAATCAATCATCAACCCGACACCGAGCGCGAAAACCCGCGCAACGCGATGACCTCAAATCCCCATGTAACCAAGGAGAGGAGTATAGGTGACCGAGTCAGGGCTAGGACCCCACATCCTGCGACCAAAAAACCCCACGAGGCTATTCTCCCACTCTTCTAAACCTCTTTAAGGCGAGCCCCACAAAGTTAAGGGCCCTCCACCCTCCAGCGGACAGCCACCAATGATCTGCAGCCAGCGGTCGATCGAGGAGAAACAAAGCACCAGGCAAGAGTTGCACAGGTTCCTGGCGCCTATCGGCTGACTAATCGGACTGGAGAGAGCCCTGGTCGACAAAGTTGCTACATGTGTTTACTCGCTATGCTTCAACAATGCGGGAAAGAAGCAAGCATACCAATAACTTAAAACAAAGATTATTACTTTTGGGGAGGGGAAGGGGAAGGGGAAGAGAAGGGGAAGAAGGGGAAGGGGGTCGGAACGATCAGGTTGAGACTTGAGAGGGGTGAGGCCTGGTAAGGTCTAGGCTGGATCACTAGCTCCGGCACGGGGGCTGTGCAAAAGCTCTCTTACACAACTGGGGCACGCTAGCCATGGTTGCGGGTGCCTTTTTTTTTCTTTTTTTTTTTTCTGGAGATTTGCCAGGTTTGCTACGCGGTAAGGTACGAGCTGGTATGTTAAGTATGTTACGATATATGTGTATTTTTCACTTTGCCCAACCTCTTCCCTTCTCTGGCGGCGTAGGGCAGACCACCGCCCTGCCCTCCTTGGTCGACGTGGGTGGCAAGGCCACAAAACGTGGGAGACAGAATGTCATAGAAGGTCCAGAACATTATCACTTTAAAGCTCTTCTCCGTAGACTACATGGTACTCTTTGTGAAGTATGGAAGTGTGTCTGTGCATAAGTATCCGCCTGGCTGGATCTCTCGAGTACAAGACACAAACCAGGCAGATACTTTATCCAGCCTGTACACTACGGTCACTCACCTAAGCTAGTTGTACAGTACTCAAGGTCATTTGATGCTGCTGGATATGCAATGCATGATCAAGGCTCGATGATCGAGTCATTCAGGAACCAACGGTTCCGGCCCTCCCTCCCCCCCTCGTCAACGTCCACAGCCTAGTATAGGCACCATCTTCGATATGCTATAGAGTGGTCTTTGTCTACGTTCGATCTAGTCATCATTCTCAACGATAATATCTCACAGACCATGGCATCCACATAGACACGATATCACAACTGAGTTCGATAGTCAGAAGAGGTGGAGGATGACGTCAGCGCCCCGTTTCCTCCAGTTCCTATTTGATAGTTCAGAGTCTATACTGCCTTACGGATACTCCGTATAGCATTGATAAATTGTCGAGTGACGATAGCAAGACATGCTATTCTTGACTATAATTCTCTATACATTATTGACTATTGTTGCGTAGGAATTGATTTCAGGAAATTAGTATATGTATTGATAGCCATTGCGACTGCCAGTGGCCCTTTGATTCCCTCAAGGTCCTTGGGATGTACTCCGTATCATGGATTAATCCAAATGGATCTATTCCCCATTCAAACTTGTCCGGAACGGGCCCACGACTCGGACTCGGGAGCCAAATTGTCCACTTTAACCCTATCTAAGTTAGATACTATCTTACACTATGTAGAGTAGAGTACTCTAATTTGTTCTTCGCTGTCTAGTGTACTGTGTATGTACATGGCAATGTTGATGTGTAGGTATGGAATGATGTCATCCCTGACAAAAAGCAATCACAATCATGATTGATGAATCTCCAGCTTACCCCCTCTCTGCCAGCAAAAATCGGAAGTGAAGAAAAGATGCAGGAGAAAGCGAGGGGACTCCGCAGTACTAAACCCAACCGGCGACTAGAGCGAGGAAACTAAGCAGCACTGCCTCACAAGGAGACCCACTGCTTTGCTTGACAAAATCTCTTGGCTCTTTTTCGTTTCCCACTGTCATCCTGACAGACAGACACACGGATATGACTTTTATCTCCGGGTTAAGTCGTCTTTTTCTTCCTTTGGGGATTAGATCAGACGAACTCGTCTTACATAGTACGACTTCTGCGGACGCTATGAACAGTGGAATGGAGTCTATCATTTCCTCTCTTACATTAGTCTCCGCAGCGTGTGTGGGCTAGGCTGTTGGATACAGAGACGATGGGAGTGAGGGAAGAGGGGAGGGGCCCCGGGCGGAATGGATTCGTACTCTATGCAAATATCATCACTTACCAACCCTGGATAGGGGATGATTGACGACGCTTGGTGGAAAAGAATCCGATGATTGGGAAGTTTTGTACACGCGGGAGAGAACTGTTAAATTAAGATGAGGGCATTTTTTCCAGACTTCGTAGATTAATTGCCACTGGATGGGGTCGGTTCCCCGCTCTTTCAGTCTCTGCTACCGGGAAGTCCTGTCGCATCCATTGGATCAGACGAGGTTGGACTCCATTGTACTGTACTTTGCTATCGGTGATTTGGTACTAGTGAGCAGTGTACGAAAAAATGTGTGCGACTCTATGTGTAAGGCTGGCTGGTGGTGTGTTGGGTAGGAAATGCCGACGGGGGGACGGCGGCCGTTCCCTGCCTTATGCCTTATGCCTTAAGGAAGGATGGGCTTTCGATTTCTAGAAGCCGCCTAAGGCTGAGATGTGGCCATGTTGCCTTGTAGCTACTTCGTAGCTCAGTCCAAGCTTCTTGCGACAGGGTGTGTGGTAAATGCAGGCCAGACGCACTGCAAGTGAGGTTAGTTACCGTATCTGTCTTGACTTGTTCATGTGGCAGATCAAGACTAAGGGTCCGCGTCCCATCCTTTGCACTCGTGACAAAGAGTGATCCGGGTGGTCCTGTTGGAAATCTGACTGGATAAGTGATGGGAAACAAAGATCCCAGGGCTGTGCTATCCGCGGGTTTCTGTCTTCCTCGCACATGTCTTGGATGATGACTGAGATTCTTCATGAACAGGGCAATGGACTCCTGGCCCCTGGTGTTAGGACCATAGAGAGATGTCGCTCCAGAAGACATATTCGTACGAATACGAAGCTGTCTTAGACATCACCCAAGAACCCAGGCTATGCTGGTCACGCATCATGATAAGACATGCCACAGTATGCACCGCGCGGCCAGGCTCACTAGAAGGAGTCGTGCGCACACTCTGTCCTGAACCATCTCAATGAACATCGACCTAGTCCCAAGGCAGGTGCACGTTCACCCAACACAAACTCAAATACCACCAGACGGGACGGATGGAAAAAACGAGGGATCCTGCAGCCGTTGCCGGTTGCGCCTCGCGACTTCAGCGTTGCGCACTCTGTCGATCCGCATTTGGTAGAAGTTCCTATCCCACCATGTATGTGATCAGTATCAAGACACCTGTACAGGGAACAAAAAGCAAAAATCCGTACTTGTGCAGCGCAAAGATCCGCGGCGAATCATCCGTGCTCGGCGTTGTGGCATCCCCGGATTTCTTGATCGCATCAATCTGCAGCGCATTATCAATCAGCCAGCCCGTCCATCCTCCCAGTTGGTCGTCGTTCTTTCTCTCCATCTCACACTCAAAGACTTGAAACACCTACCTTGTCATCGCGCTCTTTCTCTGCGGCCTTATCGTCCTTGCCTTCTCCATCCTTCTCCTTCGAGTTCTTGTCCTTCTCTTTCTCCTTTTCCTTCTCCTTCTCCTTCTCCTTGTCCCCGCTCTTCTTCGCCTTCCGCGCCTGCCTCTCCTCGTACTCCTTCTTCACCTTCTCGATCTCTTTGGCCATAGCATCGCGCTTCGCTTTCGCCTCAACCTCCGCCGCATCAATGATAGGAGAGCAGAAGTTTCGGTCTGTGAGGTGGGAGGGGCAGGTGTAGAAGAAATCCTGCGAGGGGGGTCGTTCAATCGTTAGCACGGTGAATAGAGACCAATGCGTGGGGTCTTCAAGTCTTTTATGGCAGACACCCAGAAACGGCTTACCTTGTTGTCAGGAGTGATAAGGACCGAGGTCGAGGGTTTGTAGCAGATGTAGCATGATTTAGCAGAGGTGTCGGCTACGCGACGGAGGTGGTAGGTATTTTGGAATGGCGAGGCCATTTTTTCTGCGAGAATAAGGGGAGATTAGGAGTGAGAAGCGGAAGGGCTAAGGAGTATCTGTGGTTGACTACGTCCTGGGCGCATGGGGGTAGGATGGAAATACAAAGGTTGGAGCTTTGCGCGGGGAAGGGACAAGTGAATTAGTTTGGGTGCGGAGGAAATAGTCCACTCTTGGTGATGTCATGTGACAAGTATACAATACATGTTGCCCTCTCGAATTCTGGAATACAGTGATATCCACTGATAACTACCTGCCGAACTAACGCCAGAGCAATGCATACATAACAGTCAGGACTGACTCTAGGTCTAAGCCTTAACTTTTCAAAGAGAACAATATCCCCTTTCCTAGAACGTTGGATATAGGATAAAAAAGGGAAACGATCAAGAAGCTCATCTTCGGGGATTCAGAAGAGTCAAAAACAGGAGAACCAAGTTTACCTTGGAAGTTCATCACACCACAATACCTTCCATCATTGAGAATCCGCAAGTGGAAGACTGTTTGCAGAGGAAGTGGAAATTTACAGACCCTCATCAACCACGCCAGCGGCCTCCTCGGCTAGCCGGAGGTCTTTAGCATCCAAATCTATCACGGTAAAATATTTGTTGAACGCGGACAGGATGCTTTTCAGAGAGTGTTTAAGTGTCGCCAGGACTAGATCCACATCAGGAACCCGACGAGCCTGAGCCTGCGCCTCCGGATTGCTGGAAGATGGGAAATCGACATCCGTCCAGTGCGCGTCCAGACCGCCGTTGATGAACGGCTCTAGGGTTTGGATGGTTTCGGTGAACAGACGGATGATGGCAGGAACGTCAGCTTGGACTTTACCGTAGGAATCCTCTTCGAGACTCTTGATGGTGAGACCAGTAAGAGAGTCGATGGAGTGGACAATGGAGCCTATATTGGCGTGGGGGGTGCCAAGGACGATACCGGACAAGCGACGGGCGTAAGTGTGTTGGAATTGGCGGCCAACCGGGGTGCGAAGGGCTTGTGCCATGAGAGGGTGCAAGTCTTCGGGCTTGCACGTGATCAAGGGGCCGGTGAGGCGCTCGAGGAGTTCCTTGTAAGTAGCAAGGAGCTTCTGCTTGTGTTCGGGACTGAGCATGGCAGATAGTGCCCGGTCCAGGACATCAAGAGCTTTGGCGCGGGCGTTAGGAGTCCAGTCAGGGTTGCTTCCGAATGATTTAATGGTCTCATTCAAAGTTTCCTGGTGAGAAGTGGTCTTGGGGATGGGGGCGAAGATGTCAACCTCACTTGGCGCCTTGAGCGGGTCTGTGAGTCGAGGAAGAGTGCGAAGGACGAGTTCATCTTTGGGAGGTAGGCCAGTGTCGATAGTGGAAAGTGCCTTTGTCTTTTCCCTATTCTCCCGATATTCCTTCTCATCGACCTTAGGTTTGACCCGGGTCGCGACTCCCTTGACCACTTCTGTGGCCGCGGCGAAAATCTGAGCCCAGGCTGCCCCTTCTTCGCGGTCGATATCATTAAAGATCGCTTTGCGACGATCAGGAAACTGCTGGCTTATCAAAAGTAGTTCCCAGAATGCGAAGGCTCGAACCGTCTCCTTCTTCGCTTTGAGACCGCTAAGCAAGCTGCCGTTGGGGTCTTTAGCATCGGCTGTCAAAGGCTGGCCACGCTTGAGGGGCTCTTTGCTCAAAAATATGGAAAAGAAAAGGTTGGCGCTCTGCCAACAAATCATCAGAAGTGCTCCTGAGACCATTGACCTGACGATGATTCCCGGGGTGATCGGTGGAAGAAAGCCCGGCGGATGAGCGGCGGACCTGGGGATGTCCCAGAAGAGTTTGGCAAAATACAAGGTGGTACTCCACGCAGAACGACGGAGGAAAATGGAGTACGCCAGAGGGCAAACTAGAGCAGCCAACAAACTCCTCTTGATTCCGCCAACAATGGCCGGCAGGAATTCAGCCTGGATGCGTTTGGCAGTAGACTGAACTGTACTTTTGTCCTTCTCAGACCGTTTGGCGACTGGGATAGGGATTTGGTCATAATCACAGTACAGATGAAAAACTGACTGTACCACTGCAAGCATGAGGTGATAGGTGTAGAGGTAGATAGCCCGTTCATTCAGACTTGCGCGCTCATGGGGTCTGGCATCATGTCTCTTTCTTTAGCTGAGGTTCCGCCACGCTCAAAGTAATTCAGCCTCGGGTGAGCACATACCTGGCTCGGTTCACCCATTCCAAGTGCGCACTAAGCGGCGAAGACCATCTGTAAATTTCATTGAACCACCAGGCTGAGAACATGTACCATCCGAAAGTCTGGAAAGCATCGAACGGGATAAGTTGTTTGAGAGTACTGATTGACGAGGCGGTCGTCCTTGCGCCAAGGTGCATCTGACCAACACGCAGAACAAAGATGACAAGGCTGCAGAGGGAGAGTAAAATTGTTCGAATGCCGCATGCTCCAATTGGGAACCATGACCAGAAGACTAGTGGGATGTCGCAAGTGGTTAGCGATCGCCGTGATTTCGTCTTGCGAGCTGCTCCATCCATCGTGGTTGTACTTACATGATGATTTTTCACCAAGGATAAATGCAACAATATAACAGACTAATAGCGCCAGTGCAGAAGCGTGAACAAATCGTCTGTGCAGGGCCGAGGTCAATATGCGCCGATAAGGGCGAGGCCGTGCAGCAGCCATGATGAGGGTTGGGATCTAAGTGTGATGGGATGATCTCTAGGTAGAGAAGGATGAATCAAGTTCACCGCATGATCAGAGTAGCCGCAGAATGGGTAGCAAGTATGCCTTGGAATAATTGAAGCTCCAAGCGTATTGAAATGGAGCTCAGTTGAGAGAAAGCGGACAGCGGATGCGACGACAAAATGAAGCTTTTCGAACAAAGCACCAAAACACACCCACCAGCCACATCCGCCGTATCAGGTGACCGGGCAACCCATCGAGGTCCGTGCGTCATGTGATGGCAGCCTGAAAAGCCGGATGTACAAAATCAGGCAATAACGCCATCGGCCCGCTTTCCCCCCTGCTACCGACGTATGCCCTGCCCTGCGCTGTACGGAGCCTAGACTAGTGTACTGTACTGTACATGTGCCCGCTTGCATCAGCCGGAGTCAGGTTGATCTCAACTACTACCTAGTACCCAGTAACTTCCCAGTCCTTCCAGCTTCCAACTGTCTACCCCACCCAGGGACATTTTCTCGCCCAGCCATGTCTTTCGATCGTTTAGATTCACTAGAGTCGCAGCCTACGACTCTGCGCCGCGCAGATGACCCCCACTATCGTGATGACCCTGAGTTTGACCGCTTGACCGAGAGTCTCTCCAACCGCCTCTTTACCCTCACTTCAAACATCACTCGCTTATCAGACCAGATCGCTCTTCTGGGTACGCGTCGAGACACCGAGCGGGTGCGTGAACGAGTTCACAACCTATTGGAGCAGACTCGCGTGGGTTTCAAGGATGTCGGGGAGGGGATCAAGAAAGTAACTACGTGGGAAGACGTCAATGTATGTTGTGTTCCATCTGCGCTGTCCGCGCTATCGCTGGGCTCGTTCCCCTACAACATGAGCGTCGCTGACCTCTACCCACCAGCCTTCTCAAAAATGGACCCAGCAGAAGCTCTCTTCCGAATTTAGAGCTACATTGGAGGAATTCCAGACCGTTCAGCGTCGTGCCCTGGAGAAGCAGCGAGCATCTGCAGTGGCTGCTCGCACAGCTGTGGAAGATGGCGAGCATGCGGCCGAAGATGGCTTTCAGCAACAGCAAGAGCAGCTTCTCGAACAACAACCTCGACTGGCGAACCAAGACGAAGTGGACTTCCAGGAGTCTCTGATCATCGAGCGGGAGGCGGAAATCCGCAATATCGAGCAGAGCGTCGGCGAGCTGAATGAGCTCTTCCGCGATGTCGCTCACATCGTCCATGAGCAAGGAGGACAGCTCGATATTATCAGTGAAAATGTTGAAAGAGTCGGAGACGACACTCGCGGTGCCAATGTAGAGCTGCGAAGCGCAAGCAGGTACCAGAAGAATGCGCGGAATAAGGCCTGCTGTCTTCTGGTCATTCTGGCCGTGATCTTGCTGATCATTGTCCTTGCCGTGGTGCTGGGGTGAGTTTCGCCGGCTTCCGCCGCCCACCTCTAGTCTGCAACATCGCTGGTTGATCCAGCGTGGGTCGCAGCGTTCCCTCGCTTTTGATGATATCCTTCGCATGTACGTTCTATTTGTATGCGTATTTTCCCACTCGTTTTGCAGGCGCTTTGTCGTCTTCACTCACGATTCTCTTAATGAATGACCGGCGCATATGGAGCAGAGGATGTTTATCTATCTACAACGTTCGTACTGTCTTTCTATGCTTGATATCATACATAGTTTCCGTTATACATGGATTGTACACTGAGATGAATTTACCCAAGAGACCCGAAACTCCTTGTGTTCGCCTGTACACGTGCACCGTAAATCAATGAGGAAAATGCGTCGGACTGCCTACAGTCCCGCGAACTTGCTGAACCGCATACGGCAGCCCTCCCAGGTGTTCATCTTAGGCCGGACGTCCAGGTAGAAGCTCAATTTACCCGGACCAGCATTGGCGGCCAATCCAGCGCCGGTGGCCCCTCCCGATGTCTTGCCTTGGTAGAAGTCGATAACGTATTCGACTCTTTCTCCACCACACCTTTCCACAACCCAGTCATGTCGATCAAAGGGTAGCTGGTAGCCCATCAGGTTGTTGATTCGCGCCCGAGGGCTCAGGAATTGAGGGTCAACACCTAAGCCGCGGAATGAGTACAGTTTGGGGCCACCACATTTCTTGCTGCCGGGGTCACTGCTGGGAGCTCGACTCTCCCATTCCAGGATTTGCTGCCATGCGCGCTCGTTGACAGCGTTATGAATAGGGATAATGGACGCGACAGTGGTGGCCAGTTCAGAAGCCGATTCTGTGGAAGAAGGTGTGCTGCCCTTGCGCATCAGCGCCTCGAAGAACTGTCGCTCGGACGGATAGATCCAGTTGCCAGTGTTGGGGTCGTGGCCTGTCTCAGCCTCGTCGTTCGATGGCGCGCCGTGCGATGCGCTCGGGGAAGAGTATGGTGATGGCGGAGCGTTGGGTGAAGCGGGAGATGACGGCTGGGATTGGGGTTCGATGGCTCGTGGGATGCTGCTTACTTCACGATCGGTGGAGAGTGGACGTTGCATCTTCGCCTTTGATTGACTGTCTTCTGAAGGCATTGGGTGAGGAGGAGCAGCTCCTCCGGATGCTTTATTTTGTTGTAGCCATGCCTCGCGAGTTTTGTGGTCAACAGGGCATACTCCGGCTGCCGTGGCAGGCTCGGGGGCGGGCGTACTGGCACCAGCACCCATGAGTATCAGGTGTCTATATAATAAGATGGGATGAGATGGGGATCGAGGGCCAAAAGGGTCGGTGATGGGATTACACCGTGCTGAAAGCGTCTGGCGAATGAGAAGTATGAAAATAGAAATCAAGAACTGGAACCTTGAAGGGAAGCGGACAACTCCGAACAGGCGGAGAAAAAATGGCCGCTCACCGCCTTGAGTCCCGGGGATCAAAACAGCCCCTCTCTTTGCCCAACTGGGAAATCCATTTATTCCCCTCCCCCTCTCGTTGGTCTGGCCGTCTCTTTCTTCAATCACCTCCATCTGCTGCGTTACATCGCCAATTCAATACCATTAAAGCAGCTTGCTGAAGATCAATCATGGCTGCTTCCGCTGATAGTCCCGTCTACCGGGCCACCACGACGGCCCCCGTCAACATCGCTGTCATCAAGTATGTTGCTACTATGCGTCCCACCCCCTATTGCGGTCCATCACGAACCACATTGAGAACCCCCAGAAACTGACAAGAACTCTGCAAGATACTGGGGCAAGCGTGATGCCGTGCTCAACTTGCCTACCAACTCCTCTCTCTCCGTCACCCTCTCCCAGCGCTCATTGCGCACCCTGACCACCGCCTCCTGCTCGGCCATCTACCCTGCCCAAGACGAGCTGATCCTCAACGGCAAGCCCCAGGATATCCAGTCATCCAAGCGCACCCTTGCCTGTCTCTCCAGCCTGCGCGCTCACCGCAAGGAGGTCGAAGCCGCCGACTCCTCCCTCCCGAAGCTCTCTGCCCTCCCTCTCCGCATCGTCTCCGAGAACAACTTCCCCACCGCTGCCGGACTCGCCAGCTCGGCTGCTGGCTTCGCCGCCCTTGTTCGCGCCGTGGCCGACCTCTACCAACTCCCACAATCTCCCCGGGACCTCAGTCGCATTGCCCGTCAGGGCTCCGGCTCCGCTTGTCGGTCTCTGATGGGCGGCTACGTCGCCTGGCGCGCCGGCACCCTCGATGACGGCAGCGACAGTCTGGCCGAGGAAGTCGCGCCCGCCGCTCACTGGCCCGAGATGCGCGCCATTGTCCTGGTCGTCAGCGCCGAGAAGAAGGATGTCCCCAGCACGGAGGGTATGCAGACGACTGTCGCGACGTCGAACCTGTTCGCTACGCGGGCGAACACCGTCGTCCCCGAGCGCATGGCCGCGATCGAGACCGCCATCCAGAACCGGGACTTCCCTGCCTTTGCTGAGATCACCATGCGGGACTCCAACGGGTTCCACGCCACCTGCCTGGACTCGTGGCCTCCGATCTTCTACATGAACGATGTCTCGCGGGCCGCTGTGCGTCTGGTCCACGACATCAACCGGGCCGTCGGCCGCATGGTCTGTGCCTACACCTTCGATGCCGGCCCGAACGCTGTTATCTACTACCTCGAGAAGGAGACCGAGCTCGTGGCTGGCACGATCAAGGCCATTCTCGGTACCAAGGCCAATGGCTGGGAAGGCCCCTTCTACGAGGCTATGAAGGATTCCAGCGCCCCCGGTGTTTCCCTGGACAAGGTGGACTCCCGGGCCGTGGACGTACTCCGGGATGGCGTCAGTCGCGTCATCCTCACTGGCGTCGGCGAGGGACCCGTCAGCGTAACCGATCACCTTGTCAGCGAGAAGGGCGATGTCCTCTCCCACTAAGGCGCTCTCATGCCAAACTCAAAGCCCCGTGGGCATTGACTTCTCACGCCGCGGATTGCCTTGAGATGAAAAGATACCCAAACCGGTCCCTCCTTTGTTTGTTTCTAGTGGAGGGATTGAATTCTATATCCAGAAAGCATATATTCTCGTCTTTTACGAAGCATATTACAACATTAATAATCATTTTGACATTTCAATCGAATGGCTCACTATCCTCAAAGGAATCTATGCTTTTTTGTAACCTTTTCCAAAACCATAGTCATAAAAAAGAAGTAAAGACAGACAGACCACCACCAAGCAGGCTTCCAGGTACACAGACCAGCATGCCTTACCGAGAAAAGGTTCGTTCTAATTGAGCAAAGCCGACATCTTCAGCTCCTTGACAGCAGGCACCTCCTTGCCCTTGCCCACATTGGCAGTGGCAGTCACACTGTCCCAGAAGACGCTCTGCCCGCCGCCGCCCATTCCTAAGGGCTCTTCGCCATTACCAAACCCGCCGAGATCCGCATTCTCGGGCTCCCCAGCTGCCTCCCCCTTGACCCCGTCGTTCGCGGCCACCAGAGCGCCAAACACCTCCTCGCGACTTTCCGTGCACAGCTTCAGCACCTCCTGCATGGCCTTCTCGATGGCGGCGGCGCGCTCGCGCATGGCCCGGCGCAGCAGCGCATCGACGAGCGCCTCAACCTCGCCGACGGTGGAGTTGGCGCGCTCCAGGAGCCGCCGCACGCTGTTGACGAGGTACTCCTCCTCGTAGACGGTGCCCTTCTTGCCACGGGCGCGCTTGCGCTCCTCCTTGCGCCGGGTCTTGGACGTGTGGCGCGACGAGGTCGTCTTGCCGGTCTTGCCCGTGTTGCCTGTGTAGCGGGTGAACATGGAGCGGCCGGCCAGCGTGGACGCGTCCGTCGGCGCCAGGGAGACGTTGTCGGGGATGTCGACATTTCCATCCCCGCCGCCGCCCAGGGTGGGGTCGCCGCCGAAGTATGCCAGCGGGTCCGTGGCGCGGCGGACGCGCAGTTCGCGGATCCGAGGCACCTGCGCGTTGAGCTGGGAGCGGAAGTCGGCCAGGAGGTCGGTCATGGCGCCCATGGCGTCCGAGAGCCCGCCGTCGACGATCTCCGGGATCAGCGCCTGCCGGTCGTGCAAGGCCAAAAGGCGCGTCGCCTCGGAGAACTTCGACCCGCGGCAGAGGAGGCGCGCCGCCGTGGGGACGTCGCGGAGATGGTCGGCGTGGATCTGCGCCGCGGCAACGTAGTCCTTCATCTCTTCGGTGAGGGTGGCGGCCAGGCTGCTGGCGTGCGTGGCGAGTTCCTCGGCGGGGAGGGGCACCATCGTGGCGCAGTAGATGGACTCGCGCCAGAGGTGGGCCAGGTGGTAGCATTTGTATGCATCGGTGTAGAGCGAGAGGGATTCGTAGGCTGGTAAGGAGGGTTCGGTCAATTCAGGAAAAGGGTCTGGGCTTGAGGGGTTTGTTTCACGTACCAATTCCTGCCTCCTTGTACTTGGATTGATCGAACAGGTGGTCAGCGTAGAGATGACTCATGTCACGTAGTTGCTCGGCCTGGTATCTGTACAGATCGATGGCATCCTTATAGAGCGTGTGCTTGATGGCATAGGCACGGAGCTCGTCATGCGCGTTCAGTGCATGGAGGTGTTTCAGGGCTTTAGAAGTGCGTCCTAAGTAGTTATCGATCTCGAACTGGCGTCGGAGTTCGGGCATCTGTTGCAGCTTCCTCAGGAATGGAAGATACTCGCGGGGATCCTGCGTGCTGTTAGCTCATATCGTCGCGAAGAGAATCCGAGGCACCGACTCTCTGGGCTTGTTGGGCAACAAGTAGCGTGAGTTCGAGGTCATAGAGACCCAGTGCATTGTCGTACAGACGGTTGGCATCTGTCAAGAAGCACATATGCTCTACCGCGTCGTCGGCTTGTTCGGAACTTTCCTCTGCTATGTAGTCAGTATTTGGTCCAACAAGTGAGAAGAGCATTTTCCATACCTCTCAACCGCGCAACCAGCTGAAGACCGGCCTCAAGGTCAGGCGGAGACTTGCAGACGTGAGCAGTAATCAAATTGTGCAGGTTGGTATCCAGTCGCTTTTCAAGAGTGGTCAGGAAAGCATCGCAAATCCGGTTAACTTTACTGCTCTTGCTAGAGGGAGCGGATAGAGCAGCAAGGGCGGGGTCTTCAGTCTTCTTCTTTAGCGTGTCTTTGTACAGCGTCTGCGACACATCCTCCTCACTAGACGCAATCGTCAGTCGTATGCCTTGCTAATCAAAGTAGCGTTTACATACCTTAAACGAGAGATAAATTCGTCGATAAAGTCGATTCTCTTGACCTGGTCAACAAAAAGTTGGATGCTCTCCATGAACTGCTCAGGTGCATAGTCATGAATGATGTTCATGTCCACCATCTGACTACGACAGGTCAGGAACGCTGCCCGATAATTCTTGCGGTCAATGAACGACCGGATGCCGGCAAGCACGAGGGCCCGAGGGTATATGGTTTCGATGTTGCCGCGAGGCATCTGTAAAATAACAGCGAATGTCGAAGGCATAACCGTGACCAACCGTCCTCCGCGCTCGATGCTTCTGCAGCGTTCGTCCGTTTCCGGGGTATCAGGAGGTACATCCATTTCTAAGACATGGGCGTTAGTTATCGTATGGTGGGGATAAAGCGGGCTTTCAAACCTTCTGCTCTCGTCAGGTGGACGAATTTGATCAGGTGTAATGAAGTGGTGAAGATGATATGAGCTTGTGTGAGAAGGAAGGAAGTGCAGTTCTTGGCAAGAAGGGTTTTGTTGGCATACAAAGCCCCCGACTTGGTCATAGAGATGAGAAGAGCCTTGTAGAATATTAGTTATCAGGGATACATAGGATCTAAATGGTGGGTATACCTCATCTTCAGAGATCTGCACAGCTTGCGCCCAGTACGTCTCGGCAGAGGGACTTTGGCTCCATGGCATAACTTCGAGCTGGTTTGGGGAGGGCATTGAGATGTAGGAGTAGGTGATCGGTTGGGTTGGTCCTAGAATGTGAGAGAACCAGAGCGATTCATGCCCGAGAGATGCGAACATTGACATGATTTGTTCCGAGTCAGCTGCTTGGTAGGCAACCTTAGTCTCCCGGGTCTCAAGCGTAGTCCGCTCTATGCAGGTGTTATTAGGCCCACTGCTCTTGAGCACGTAGACTTCAGTCTCATTGATGAAAGCGATCTGGCGAGGTCGACTGTTCGGTGCCTCTGAAAGTGGATAGCTGGACTCAAGTATGGGGACAGGGACTGGTTTAGTCTTGAGGGCCCATATAAAGACAGAGAACCGATCGTTCTCGAGGATAGCAATGCGCGTTCCTGACTTGCTGAATGCCACGTCAATGATGTTTGAATCAAGTATCAATTCATTGTGGGCCATAGGGGGCGGAACACCGGCCAGCCTCAAGGGAGTCAGCTTCAAGATTTCTGTCGTATGTCAGCAGCTTGAAGTCATAAATGCAGGGCAAGCACATACCCCCGTCTACAACACCGACGGCACCAACATCAGCCGGGCTTGTAGTGGAGCCATGGGCGACGTCAAACACAAATTCCACGTCCAACATTGATTCTACCCAGTGATTAGCATATGGTCATCCACGAGTGGGGGGCGTATCATACCAGAAGCACCAGCAAAGAACCGCAAGGCCTTTTCTTGATGCCACGTGAAGGTGAAAGGACTGGCGTAACCGGAGTTACTAACGATAGGGATCTCCTGCTTCAAGTAGTAGTGGTAATTGCCCATTGTCCAGAATTGAACACGATCTCTGAGCTGAACAGCGAGAACAGTGGAGTCGACGTTCCAGCTCAGAGAGATATCCGAAGCCCATGCCGAACGCTCTTCCTCTGTAAGACGGAGAGTGAACTCGCCGTGGCGCAAGCCGTTTCTCTCAAAGAACACCACATCGATTCTATCATCGCGTCTCTGGATGCCGGCAATAAGGTTACCATATGGCCTCCAGCTAATGGCACCTTCCAGGCCGTCGACTGGCTCACTGATACTGTCTAAAGCACCCTCACGTGAGTAGACTCGAATCGCGCGGCGCACGCCAGCCTCAACGCTGTTCATAGCGACATAAGCACCATCTCCGCGCCAAGTGATGGTGGTTCTTCCGTCATCATTGGCGCTCAACTTGCCCTCGTCCACTTTCTCTGGGACGGTAGGATCACGGAGAGCCTTGGCCCGTTTACCCTGGAATTGAGTCTCGCGCTTGCCCCAGCCCACGGAGACATGCTGGGAAGCTTTGAGGTCTTCTTGTGTCAAGGTGATCTCGGCAACATTTTCAAACTCTCTAGTCATGTATAGGAAAGTGTTGGCTCGAGTAGTCAAGGCCAGAAGCTCCTCGTCAGGCGACCAAGCGGCGGCTGTGATACCAACATCAACCGAGCCGACAATCTCAATCTTGTCCTCGCCGGGGAGAGGCTCTTCGCGTACGATGACAATATCACCACCTTCCAGAACCAGGCAGGCAGTCAGGTTGTCTGCGAAGTAGTGGAGGGACAGTACGCGATCGCATTCCAGCTCGGGAAGCGGGCATGGCGCATCCCAGGATGCGATGCACTCGAATACATCGGCTCCGACAGGATCTGAGAAATGGGCGTCATGACGCTTCCTCCGCAGCTCGATAACTGCGTTATTTGCTGTAGGACCAAAGGTACAAACGACGGCGTCTGAAGCAGTATCCCAAGCTGTCGCTGTTAGAGGGAGCTCGTTCTGCAGTTGCACCTCAGCGAGGCGGACGGTTTTAAGGTTGCGCATCTTCGGAATAGCAGATCTTCTACCCCGCCGCCATTAATCGACGGCCGCTTGAAGATATTGATGATTCTTTTATGGCAAGAAAGAAGACAAAAAGGAACAACCGACTGGAAGTGAAAGAGTTTCAGACGGCCGTCATAGAATCTAGATCTAGACTAGACCAGTGAAAGAATGGTGTTCTGTTTCTGTTCTTGCGTTTGGGCGGCGGAGCGGTAGCGGCCACACCAATGATTCTCGACGATTTAATTTTCCTTTCCTAGACGGATTTCGACCAATGACTTCATCCATATTCTAATAAGGTATTAGACAATCCGCCGGCACTGCACCAACAACCATGATGCTTCTTGCAACACTGGAGGCCCAGAATCTAAGCAATTCTCTACGTGAAATTATGTAATTAATCCCAGAATTATAATTCTGTATCAAAACCGTGCTCAATTTCTCAACTTTATACAAATTTCCGAAAACATCCGATCTAAGATACACACTCGACCGATCCCCCAAATCCCACCAGTTTCCGTTGCGCGTGCAGATTACACAGCACAATAGGGCGCTTAGCGGGTCTTGTAGGTCTGCCAGACTGTAGTGAGAGTTAGACGATTGCTGAAAGGACGTGCTTGGGGAGCAATGGGTGACATACCAGCGATACCGAAGGGAGCACCGAAGCCGGTGACTAGTGAATGGAGTGAGTGACATTGAACAATGAAAGCCGTTCTCATACGGCGACAGGGGACTAACTCATGAAAGCCCAGTATCTCCAGAAGAAGTACTTGGTGAGGGGGTTGAAGGGAAGGTTGGAACGGGGTCCCTCAGCGTAGTGGTAGGGGCTGCCGAGCTGGGCACGGGTGGTGGAAAAGCCACGACGGGCGACGAAAGAGGTGGCCATTCTGGCGCGGAGAGCGGAGGCGGCGTACATCTTTAGCAGTATTAGAGTCAGTTGTTCAATGGCCACAGAAATGCAGGCAATTACGCACTTTGAAAGAGATGGTAGAGCACGAGTGTCAGGGCAATCTTACTGGAATCATTCAACGGGCGGAGGAAGAGCTGGAGGAGTGGAACGATACTCGCGGCAACGCTCCGGAAGTGCAGTCACGTGGGTATTTCTCCAATCGGGTAAGTTTCACCGGCGGAGAGCAGCAGCTGCCCGCCCGCGGCATTCATTGTGTTAACCAAAAATTTTGGGGCCGATCGCCTTAACCCAACTCTTCGTCTTGGAAGAGAGAGAAGCGTCGCAAGTGTCCAGGTCAGTCCCCGGTCTTGTTTTCGTCGATCGGCCACCATGGATGAGCTTTTCGACGTCTTTGACGACCAGCCTCAGGCTGTCAAGCCGGCTGAGGGAGCACCTAAAAGATCAAAGAAAGACAAGAGCAAGAAACGGCAGGTCAATGGCGATGTCAAAGCAACCGCCGCCGCAACCGCCGCTACGGAGGATATCGATATCCCCGACGCCCCCGACGCCCAGGTCCCTCCCCCCGTGGACGAGAAGGAACCCGAATCAGAAGAAGAGAAGGAAGCCAGCCCTGTTGCAGACTCCAATGAACAACCTGATGCGAAACGTCCGCGCCTCGCGACAAAGGAGGCCGAGCCTGTCTTGGTCGATTCATTCGAAACGGAGCAGGAGCGCGAAGTCGCTGGAGCCACCGGACTGCAAGCTTCGGCCGATTCTGCGTCATTGAAGTTGTCTCACCAAGTTCGACACCAGGTCGCCATTCCGCCGAATTATCCCTACGTGCCTATCTCCCAACACAAGCCGCCGGAGAATCCTGCCCGCGTATGGCCATTTACCCTCGATCCTTTCCAGCAAGTAGCTGTCGCATCTATTCAAAGAGAGGAGAGTGTGCTTGTCTCCGCCCATACCAGTGCCGGAAAGACCGTGGTTGCCGAGTACGCTATCGCGCAGAGCTTGAAGAACAACCAGAGAGTCATTTATACCAGTCCGATTAAGGCGCTGAGCAACCAGAAGTTCCGTGAATTCCAGCAAGAGTTTGGAGATTGTGGTTTGATGACTGGAGATGTCACCATCAACCCTACGGCTACTTGCTTGGTCATGACCACCGAGGTAAGCGCTCTTTGGCTGGGAAGACATTCCGACGCCATTCGCGCTGACGCACCACATTTTCCAGATTCTACGTTCGATGCTCTACCGTGGCTCCGAGATCATGCGTGAAGTGGCTTGGGTCATTTTTGACGAGGTTCACTACATGCGCGATGCCAGTAAGTCTTACGGACCTGACGCTTGCCTTTCCCTTGCATACAACTGACAACTCCGCAGCCCGAGGTGTGGTCTGGGAGGAGACTATCATTCTCCTGCCCGATAAGGTTCGGTATGTCTTCTTGTCGGCGACAATTCCCAACGCCATGCAATTTGCGGAGTGGATCGTGAAGATGCACAACCAGCCCTGTCACGTTGTGTACACCGACTTCAGACCAACCCCGTTGCAACACTATTTCTACCCGGTCGGCTCTGAGGGATTGCATTTGATTGTCGATGAGAAGGGTGTCTTCCGTGAAGATAACTTCCAGAAAGCGATGAGCAGCATTGCCGATAAGAAGGGCGATGACCCTTCGGATGCCATGGCCAAGAGGAAAGGAAGGGGCAAAGACAAGCGCTTGAACAAAGGCGGCCAGAACGACGAGAAGAGCGATATGTACAAGATCGTTAAGATGATCATGCTTCGGAACCTCAACCCTGTTATCGTCTTCAGTTTCAGCAAGCGCGAGTGCGAGAACGGTGCTCTTCAGATGAAGAATCTGTCATTCAACGATCCGTCGGAAAAGGAGATGGTCCAAACAGTTTTCGACAATGCTCTTAAGATGCTTTCGGAAGAGGATCGGAATCTGCCCCAGATTCAAAATCTCCTACCACTTCTGCGCCGTGGTATCGGTGTCCACCACTCTGGGCTGCTTCCCATTCTCAAAGAAACCATTGAGATTCTGTTCCAGGAAGGTCTTATCAAGGCTCTGTTTGCTACGGAGACCTTCTCTATTGGCCTGAACATGCCGGCAAAGACTGTTGTGTTCACCAGCGTAAGGAAATTTGACGGCTTCAGTCAACGCTGGGTTACTCCCTCAGAATTCATTCAGATGTCTGGTCGCGCTGGGCGAAGAGGTTTGGATGACCGTGGTATCGTGATCATGATGGTTGGAGAAGAGATGGACCCCGCGGTTGCAAAGGAGATCGTACGCGGCGAGCAGGATCGGCTGAACTCGGCTTTCCACCTGGGCTACAACATGATCCTCAATCTCATGCGTGTAGAAGGTATTTCGCCTGAGTTCATGCTCGAGAGATGTTTCTACCAGTTCCAAAACACGGCTGGTGTTGCTGAGCTTGAAAAGCGTAGGGTCAATCTACCCCGAACTGCTTACAATCATGCTAATTGATTTCACAGAGCTTGCGGAATATGAACAGAAGCGTGCGAACATGAAGATTGAAGACGAAGGCACCATCCGTGACTATTACGATTTGAGGAAACAGCTTCAGAAGTTCAACGATGAAATAAGGACAGTCTTTACCTACCCCGACTACTGCCTGCCATTTATCCAACCTGGTCGCTTGCTTCAGGTGAAGCATAAGGACAACGACTTCGGCTGGGGTATCGTTGTCAACAGCAAACAGCGCAAGGCGCCGAAAGGCTCGAGTGAAGAGTACACTCCTCACCAGTCACACGTTGTCGACGTTTTGCTCCAACTCCCCGATGGCAATTCTGTGGGCACTAAGACTTTCGAAGACATGCCAGCTGGAGTGCGGCCGCCTAAGGAGGGTGAGAAGACCTCTATGGAGGTCGTCCCAATTGTGCTTAGCTGCATTCAGGCCATCGGAAAACCGCGTGTTTTCCTCCAAAAAGACTTGAAGTCCAAAGACGCGCGGAATTCGATGAAGAAAACTCTTACTGAGATCCACAAGCGTTTCCCGGACGGCATCGCTACTATGGACCCGCTCGAGGACATGCAAATCAAAGATGATAATTTCAAGAAGACTCTTCGTGTGAGTAGACCTGTCCTTGAAGAAATGTTTACATATCGCTAATCATCCAACAGAAAGTCGAAGTCCTGGAGTCTCGACTGTTCACCAACCCGTTGCACAACTCTCCCCGTCTAGCGGAACTGTACGATCAATATTCGGAGAAGGTGGAGCTTGGAAACAAGATTAAGGAGACGAAGAAGAAAATCTCCGACGCCATGTCTATCATGCAGCTCGATGAACTGAAATGCCGCAAGCGGGTCCTTCGTCGGTTCGGTTTCATCAATGAAGCCGAGGTCGTACAACTGAAGGCTAGAGTTGCGTGCGAAATCAGCACGGGTGACGAACTGATGCTCAGTGAACTTCTTTTCAACGGTTTCTTCAACAAGCTTACGCCGGAGCAAGTCGCTGCCGTTCTGAGTGTCTTCGTGTTTGAGGAAAAGACCAAGGAGACCCCTGCTCTAACACGGGATGAGTTGGCCAAGCCCCTCAAAGAGATCCAAGCGCAGGCTCGGATCGTCGCCAAGGTCTCACAGGAATCCAAGCTGGCTGTCAACGAGGAAGAATACGTCAACAGTTTCCACTGGGAATTGATGGAGGTCATGTACGAGTGGGCGAACGGAAAGTCCTTCTCTGATATCTGGTAGGTTCCCTTCTCTTGCTCGTGAAAAGCTCCCCCCCAATGCTAACCTATCGTCTGCGCAGCCAAATGACCGATGTCTACGAGGGCAGCTTGATCCGAGTTTTCCGCCGACTGGAGGAGTGTATGCGCCAGATGGCTCAGGCAGCCAAGGTCATGGGCAGCGAAGAACTTGAGAGCACTTTCGAAACCGCCCTGACCAAGGTGCGTCGGGATATCGTCGCCGCCCAGTCCTTGTACCTATAAAGCACCATGCTATCGTTGTTTCACTCCCCCCCCCCCTCAATTGTGTCTTCTCTCGCCTCGACTTTGGTGGTTGGGCTATTTTTCTTTTTACCTTGGTGGTCGCATATCCGGCGTCAGGCTTCACAAAAAGGTTCATGTATGACTTTTCCTTGCCGTTTCCCGTTTCTCATATCGTTTTTGTGTCTACATATTTCTCTCTGCAAATGAGGGTGTCATTTTTGTGCGACACCCGATTTTAGATGGCGCAATGCTCTTTCAATCCCAGCAGGCCGTTTCCCAGTTGACCTTCGATCGACTCGATCTTTTTCTTCGCGTTCTTTCTATCAATTGGAACTGTAGCCACGATCAAACTGGGGGACAGGTAGATCGGATTGGGCTCTTTATGGAATTTGTGGGGTACTTGGGGAAGCCGACGAAGCTCGTTAACGAATCATGGATTCGATGGCAACCAAAACAAACCCTCTTTGGCAGTGGTGAACACAAAGGATAGAGATGATCTAGTGTCTATCAATAGTCTTTCCCCCACCGAGGGCGTTTACACTTCTTTGAATGAGCGACAGCCGCTGCCAAACCAAAACCCCCAGGAATAGCAGCAAATTCTCAACAAAAGAATGGGGACATTTCCGGGAAGCAAGATCGAGGGCCAAGTTACTCTTTACCTTAGGTCTAAGTAGTGATCTGAGAAGAGCCATGTGGAACCTTGTCCCTGCTGGCGTACACGAACAGTGAATTATTTCTGTATCTTCCATCGGGGTGTACATTGCGCCATACGTTTCAGGTGCAGTCGAGATTCGAAGACCGAAAAGGACATCCTAGTAGGACTTCCCCGTATCGGACGTGGGGACGGGGATTGTCAAAGCGACGATACATATTGTTTGTACTGTACATGTCGGCTAAGAGGGTCGCATGACTGTTACATACTCGCTCTAACATGGAAAGTATTGTAGGAATTGGTCAATTTGCGGGGTGATCCTGAGAGAGAAGGTCGGTGGGGGCAGGCAGGGCTGCTTGAAAGCGCCGATGGGTACGGAGATATCGATCTATGGGCGGAAACTTCAACCTTCTTTTTTACATATATTATCATCCAAGTCTGGCCGATGACAATGTTTAGCGTTGTGCCATGAGTTCTTTAGCGTTCCTTGACTCCGGTATCGGGTAGGCTAATCCTGAAATTGAAGTCTTACTGTTTCGCAGACAATTGCAGATGGGAGGGGAGCAACCCCGCAAGGATGGCGGTGTTTGTTGATAGTGAAGGTTTGGCGCAAGGTCGCTTGCTGCGTTGTGCTCTATCTAGTAGTATCTAGTATCAGACATGCAACTTATCTAAACCCACTCACGTCGAGAGTGCATTGCCTGTGTGAAGCTGACCTAAGTCCCTACTGGGGTTGTATCCATCCGAGTTTCAGGATCACGGCTGGAAATACAACATTGGCGGAGCGTTGATCTATTGGCGCTGGCGCTGCCGGGTGGTGGCCTTGGTCTTGCTGGTGGGGGAGGGGGGTTTGTTGGCGTGAATGACCATGAATCAATCTACTTCGCCTAAAATGAATGGTTCGCTTGCGAGAGAAAGGCCAATGTGTTTATAATGGCTGAAGACCCTTTGAGTACAGTACTTGCCTGACTTGGTATCCTTAACGATGGTGGCAATGCTGTCTGTCATGGTCATATTCGCTCAGATGCGGTTGTATCTGAGTCAACCGGTGTGGTTAATTTCCGAGATGATCTAGATGTGAGACTGCTTTCAGACTATTGCAATCGTGCAGAAAGCAATTCTGTATCGCTCATGTGGGATTCAAGTGCTTCTGAGAGGAAGGAAGGGGTCGTAAAGAGCGAAACGAGAACTGAATCATGTCGGGCAGTTTTTTTCTTATTGTTTAGAGTTGACGCTTGGGGAGGTTGTGGTCATGCGGTCGATGAGGACTATGTGGATGGATTGAGAGATTGCTGCTTTGCTGCAAGACCTCGGAAATTAAAACAATGTACGATTTCCTTGCCACGGGGCTGCGATGCGGATTCTTGCAGACGACGATGAGTTAATTGTTTTATTCAAAAGAGGGAGGGAGCTGGAGACGGTGGTATCTGTATGGGTATAGTCGGAGGTAATCAGTGTCGACAGTACGGATAATCTAGTGATAGAATAATAGAATAGAATCTCTGGTTAGAGAAAGTGCATTGAAGGCTTGCGTTGCCTCCCGCAACCCGTCCCGAGGCTCCACCGCCTCTCGCTCTTCTTTCTTTGCAGTGTCTTTCTCTCTCTCTCTCTCTTTCCCCACCAAGAAGGCAAACAGTCATTAGGTGAACAGGTGAAACTGCCTCTCTTTCCCTTTCTTAGTCTTTCTCCTCCACTTCATTCCCATTCCTGCAACTCCACCACCACTACCACCTTCAGCACCACCATTACTACCACCATCTTTTCCTTTCCCTTGCTTCTTCTTGCATTTCTTTTCTCTTTCCCACACTTTTCCAAAACATTCGCCTCTCTTTCTCTTTCTCTCTCTCTCTCCTAAACATCTCCTCGTGCTCCTAGCTGACGACCTTTCCGTCCCTCGTCCTCGTTTTTCCTCCGTTGGCTACGCTACGACCCTTCCTCTCCTTTTTCTCTCTTGCCCAACCTTAAGCGGTCGGTGGCCATCATCATGAACAGTCTGGTGGCTACACCACCTGTGCCTCCTCACCACTTTTACGAACCTTCTCGCCTCTCTCCTTCCCGTCCAAGTAAGATTAAGATTCCTTATCAGTCCTGCGAAATCGTTTTCCGTATACTGATTGTCCCGTCCCTTTAGTGTCTACCCCAACCCACACGCCCAACCGCAAACGGAAAGCCGATGATGATGGCAACGATCACGATGGCCGAATGTCCGCATCTCCCACCAACTCTCCCGCTTTCACTCCTCGAACCCTTCCATCCAACCGACACCATATCAAGCGTGCTCGCCCAAATGTCAGCGGGCGGCCTCTGTCCCTGCCCCGCTTGCTAGAGACCTTGGACACCGATGCACTCCGGGGCGTTCTCCGCTCCATGTGTGAGCGTCATCCGGCCTTGATGGATGAGGTCATTCATACTGCTCCGCGACCCAGCGTAGCATCCGCACTCCAGGTGCTTCGGAATTATCAGTCCAACCTTCAGTCATCATTCCCGTTGGGCGGCAGCTCTGAATCAGATTACGCGTACAACAGAGTCCGGCAGCCGTTGGGGAGTTTGTTGGATGCTCTCAGTGACTTTACACCACATTTTCTTCCGCCAAACGAAACACAGGCCTCCGTCTCTTTGAGCTATTTAGATGGGGCAACCGACATAATTCACGCTTTGCCCCGGTGGCACACACCCCAAAACAATCTAGAGCGGGACTCTGCGTACGACGAGATTTGCAAGGCCTGGGTCTTGGTGATTCGGGAGGCTGCCAAACGTGGCGGTGGAATTCAGTTACAGTATGGTGGTTGGGATCAGAAACTGGCAAAACACAACCAAAACTCCGACGGTAAACTGCAGGCAGCCGTCAACGAGCTCGGTTCCAGCTTAGGGTGGATGCACAGACCGGATGCCCAAGGCTATGGAAGCCCTGGAGGTAATGACCTTGGATCCATTCGCGAGCAACTCTTGTCGGGCACATACGGGCTCGGCACCCCAGTCAAGGTTGGGCCATGGTAATGCTGCCAACAGTTGACTGTCAGCTTCATCTCCTCCCATCTTCTTCGTCCCTCCGACCTACTCCAAAAAAAGAGCATCCTTCACGACACTTCCTCTACCGCCCTTCCAATCCAGAGCTAGTGTCCGAAACCTCGACCGTGCAATGTCCACGTATGATACGATCACGATACTTTATCGCATGAAACTAGAGTTGAGGGTCACTTGGCGTTTTGCAGTGTGCAAGCAAACATTTTTTCTTTTGCTTTAATGTGTCATACTTTGGGAAGCCGCCGCCTTCATCGCCTACTCTCGATCTAGATTGCCAGATTTCAGGCCCCGGGTTCAATCCTTTTTCTTTGTGTTCAGCATGTTCCATGCATCCAGATCCTCCTTGCATTGATACAGTCCGGCATGGTTTTCTATCTTTCTTTCGAACATTGGCTTCTTCATTCCTTTCCTGCATCCATGCGACTTCTTTGCATTCATCTTATCATATCACGACGAAGCTTCCAATATTTCCGTTGACCCATTAACACACCGTCGTCCCACAATCCTGTATACCCTTTCATTCAATTATGTTCCCTCAACTAATATCATCCTACCGGTGTCCGGCTTATTCATTGGGGTTTTGCAAGGAGGCTTTCTCTACATTTTTTTGCCGACTTCCGCGGGCCAAGTTCTACGTGTCAATCTAAACCAAGAAGCAACAAAGAGCATTCGTTTTAGCAGTGGTGGAGGCTTGTACAGTTCACTAGGAGCGCAATGGGCGATTTTCAATGCAAATGCAGGGGTTGGGCTCTTTCCATCTGTCCTGACTGGTTAGTCGATGTACCTTACGAGCAAAACCACAAATCTTGAGCTGCATGCAGTGCCAAGATGGCAGACACAAAATTGAAGATCAATGGTTTTAGCCGTTGAGATGTATGGTATTCTGTAGGTCATCAAAGACAAGAAAGATTAAACCTTCCAGGGAACACGCATGTGTAGCTCCCTGAGGTCCCCTATTATATGTAATCATGGGTTCCTCCGATAGTGCCCCGTAGGTGAGTGAGCCTCGCTCCTCCTAATGCAGTATCATATGCGGGGACACACTGTACAGCTCACACCAGCGTCATCGACAATCCAATGACACAGCAATGAGATCCTCGTAGACAAAGAACCTCTCTCTTTGCATTTATACGTGTCCTGTCCCGTGGCTGTGCCGTACGGAGCAGGAAAGAGAAAGAGAGAGGCCCTTAGGGAGGGGACAATGTTATGTAGATCCCGCAGGGTACAGTACAGTGCACGGGTACATACACAAACAGGGGTGCGCACAGCATACGGGCTTCTTCTTTTTTATTATTTGGGAGGGTTTGCTCTCCACCCCGACAAAGGAATGGAAAGGAAAAAGGGCTCAAGACAGCGCACGTTTCACAACCCGGAACAGCCAGCTTGCATCGCCCCAGCCGCCTTGGTCTCCTGGCTTCTCACAGACCGAAAGGACTTCTGACTCGGCGACTGAGATCGTGTCGGTGTCATCTGCTGCAATTGATGGTGAGGTTGTTGTTGATGCTGCCGCCGCCGCCGCCGCCGCCGCCGCCGCTGCTGCTGCTGCTACATGGGTAGATGAGGTGTTGTTTTCAGGGTTATCAGCGGATGGGGTGGGCTGGTGGTCCGCAATGGTGATGGCTCGGGATTCGACTACAGTGTTGTTGTTGTTGTCGCCGCCACCGGCACCACCAATGGAAAGCGGCCAGTCCTCGACGCCGAATAGGGTCCATTCGACCATGCGGTCGATCCAGCTGCCGAGTCCGAAGCCTCGTTCCCGCGTGAGGCGTTGCAGTTCTTGCTCGTCGATCTCGTCGGACTCGTCGCCCGAGTCGAGGTACGGGTAGTCGGAGGTGAAGGAGGAGAGGTCGTCCTCTACCTCCTCCTCGTCGAATGCGGCGTTCTCGTCGCGTTGGATGGACGCCATCTCGGCGCGGATGCGCTCGTCCACGAAGTCGGGGATGAGGTGGCGGGTTTGTTGTTGCTGCTGTTGTTCCTCGGTCTTCTGCGTGCTATTATTGGTGCTGGTGCTGGTGCCGGTCAGAAGCTCGGGCGTTCTACTTTCACGGCGGGAGGAGGCTGCGGTCGATGTTGCGGTAGTGGTCATGCCGAGGCTGGTCATGGCGAGGTCTGCTCTACTGGCCACTCGGCTGCTGGGGCGGGACCGTGAAGCCCGTCTGGAGCGGGAATTGGCCGCAGCTGGGGTGGAACGTCCGGACCGGCCATGTCGAGGACTACCCCCATGGGACCAGCTGTGATGGTGGTGGCGGTTGTGGTTGTGGTTGTGGTTGAGAAAGTCCAGACTGAGTTGATGGTCATCGGAGACGAGGCTCGTCGAGCTCTGTCGTTTCACGAGCCAGCTCTGGCCCTTTTCTTCGCGGGTCGAGGACGCGAGTGCGATGCCGGCGCGGAGCATCCATTCTGTGTCTTGACGGTGGTTTGCAGGGTGACGGGTCCGGGTGCTACGGCTAGTGTAGTGGGTTTGGTGAGGTTGGTGCTGATGATGGTGATGGTGGAGGGGGCTGCTCGCACCCCGGGCTTGCAGGTTGGGGTCACTGGCGTGGTGGATGCGGCTGGAGCTTTTGCTCCGGGGATGGTGTCGCGTGCGGGACCCGCTGCGGGAGTGGGAGTGCGAAAGCACCCCCGGAGTGCCGGGCACGGAGAAGCTAGCCAAATAAGACCTTGCGGTGGGCGGGTCCGGGCTGTCGTGGTGATTGTGGTGGGGATGGTTGAAGTAGTCAGGAACCCCTGCCTCCGCCTCCGCCTCCTCCTCCTCGTCGGCGAGAAATCGAGGATTCAGTGGAGCGAGAGAGACATGGTGCAGGGAAGGATACGATCGTCGCGATCGAAAGGCGCTCTGAATTGGTGGCTGCGTGGGGATCTGGGTTTGCTACAATAGGTGATGGTGGTTGATGAGCATGAGCATGGTATAGGGTGGAGTACTCCGTAGATTGCTTCTCGAAGTACATAGTTAGAGTGCTTACCTCCATCTGGCAGGATCCGATCGATTGGATCAGAGATAAATTGAGGGACTGGGGGAAGAACGTGACTAAAATAACAAGTGTGGAGAGAGCGCGCGCGCGCGAGAGAGAGAGAGGAGAGAGAAACGAAGGAATCGAAGTTGGAAGGGAGCCAATGGAGTCCTTAAGAGGAAATTGTCGGCTCTCTCAGACTGCAATTAGCCTTGGCCCGGCATGTGAAAATGCGGGCAGCAGAAGAGATTGACAGGACAATGGCACCACCATCAATAACCATCCTTCAATCAGTCGATCCTACTTCAGATGGACCGAGGTCAGCACTCGGGATTCAAATCATGGAATCGACGACCGTGTGCCTCAGTATCAAAACCTTAACCCCGTCCCTACGGGGTGCCCTACGGGTGGTGCTCGGTGGTGAGGCGAAAGTCAATCCATGACCCGATTACTGCTAACCTACTCCGTACAGTTATAACTCTTTCTATTTTTATACAGGGAAGCTGCCACTAATCTCCAGATTAGATCACAACAGCGAGGAGTAACTCCTCGATGCAGTAGTACCTACTCGGTAGTCATAGCGTTGTTGTTAGCGTTGTTAGGTGATGTGATGTTGGTTCTACAGGAAAAAAGTGATGTATATGCAGTCCCACTTCCATTGCTTCATGTGCTTGCTTCACCATCAGCTCCTGACCCAGTCACTTGAACCATCGTGTGCTGTGGTCAACCTCGTACCTCGTACAAATAACATGGTTACGGTAGGGAAGATTATTCATGGTGACGAAGACGAAGGGGACGGGACTTGCAGTGGAACGCCACACCGCCCTGGCGAGGGACGATCCGCTCTCCGTCGGCTTGCTTGTCCGTCCATCGCCAATATCCTTCCTTCCGTCTTTCATCATTCATTATTCATTTTCTTTGAGCTGAGTTAATCTTACGTCTTTCCTTGGAGTTCGAGCTTCCGTATACCTCTTTCCCTTTCCTTTCCTCAATTTGCTGGTGTCCTTAGTCCTCTCCAGCCTCCGTGAATCCTGTAGCAATTCCCTATCTCCTACCTTGTCTGCCCCGGCGCCTATCTGGCCCCCGTCTCTTATCGTGACACCGAGCTTAGTCCTCCACCACCACACCAGCTCCGGTATGACGGACGAGGCAGCCAGGTCTCTGTTGGACGGTGATTCTAGGCCGGGCTCACCTCATCCATTTTCTTCGCCCAAGGATGGAAAGACACCTTCGCTCACTTATCAGGAGCCTCGACCGTTTGAATTGTCCGATGAATCCGCTCCGCTTCTAGTCCGTCGGGATGACGATGAGTTTCTGGGGTACGGCGGGACCGACCCCAGACAACGACGTGCTTCCGATCTGTCGCACCGCTCCCTCTCCTCTGACCCCTCCTTGAAAAAACGACGGGGCAAAATTCGATGGCCCATTTTCTGTGCCGTGATCTCAATCCTTGCAGTCGCGGCTATACTAGTCTTTGCTTTTATAGCCCCAGCAGCTGTGAAGGAGTACGTGAAAGATGCAACGGTCTTCAACCCCACCAATGTGTCAATTGAATCAACAACCGCCACGGGAGTCCGGGCTCGTATACAAGGGAACCTGATCCTTGATGCACAGCGCATCAGAAAGAGGCCGGTACGGGATCTAGGTCGTTTCGTCACCTGGATTGGAAGAGAGGTCGAGACCGGAGAGTCCGAGGTGGAAGTACATCTACCCGAGTACGGCAATGTCCTCGTCGGCACCGCCTCTCTGCCCCCACTCAACATCAATATCCAGAACGGCCATGTCAATCATGTCGATTTCATTGCAGATCTGGTGGCAGGTGACGTTCAAGGAATTCGCTCAGTAGCCCTGGACTGGCTAGACGGCAGACTCGGTCACGTTCGTGTAGATGGCAGAGCAACAATGCACCTCCAATCGGGCTTGTTGGACCTGGGCACACAGACGATCACTGACTCGATTGTTCTGCAAGGTATGTCTTGTGGCGTGAATTTCTCTTATCGTCCCCAGCAGGCTGACCCAGTTGACAGAGGGCGACTTTCCCCCGGTGCCCACGGTCAACGTGACCAATCTCAACGTTCGCGATGCGGACACCCCTGGCGATGAAGGAGCAATGGTCGTGGATGCGTCCGTTGCCGCTATGATTCAATCCCCCTTCTCCTTTAGCATCCCTCCGCTCGGCTTCACAGTCCTGGTGCCCAATTGCTCACCAGGGGACCCATACATCACCGTGGCCGGTGCCATGACCGAGGAATTCCCGGTCACTCCCGGCAAACCAACCCTGGTTAATGCCAGCGCTCTCATTCGAGGGCTTTCGGACGACTTGACGAAAAATTGCCCAGGAGAAAAAAGCTCTCCGCTTGATCTTCTAGTCAAAAGCTACGTTCATGGTCTTGGAACAACTGTCTACGTCCGTGGAGCTGACGCGCCCTCCTTGGATACTCCGGACTGGATTGTGGACGTACTCAAAAGTGTGACAGTGCCGTTCCAGTTTACTGGCCATACCCTGGATAACCTTGTCCGCAATTTCACTATGTCGGATGTGCACTTCAGCTTGCCTGACCCTCTGGCAGAGCCGGACTCGCCTGAATCCCGTCCAACAGTCTCTGCTCTGGTTAAGGTCTTAATCGGGCTACCGAGGGAGGTTGGACTCGAGTTCGATGTGCCCCGGGTCCGGGCCAATGCTGATGTTTTCTACCTCAACCGCAAAGTTGGAGTCTTGGATCTCAACAAATGGCAGCCAGCCAACTCAACCTTGCTTGAAGATGTCGACGGCACTCCGGTGGTGTTGGTTGACTTTGCCATCAAGAATGCCCCGCTGAGGGTTACTGACGACAATGTTCTCACGGACCTTCTCCAAGATCTCATCTTTTCTGGTAAAACGATTAAGCTGAACGTGACAGCCAATGTAGACGCGGAAGTATCCACGGGGCTTGGCATCCTGACGGTCCGCGAGATACCAGCCGAAGGAGAGGTCATCGTCAAGCGTTAGTCGCTTAGCTGCTCTGCACCATGAGGCTACTATCCAAACTGACTATTACTTAGCCCCGTACGGTGGCTCACTCGATGAATTCAAGCCACAGATTGAGTCGCTCAAATTAAGCGACACGAGTGCGTCGTCACTATTCGTGGAAACGGAAGTCAATATTACGAATCCTACGCCGTATGCTGCTTCGATACCCTTGATAGATTTCGTAATGTTCTTCAATGGCTCCAAAGTAGCCCACCTGACGGCGAAAAACGCCCAAATCACCCCCGGATTGAACAGCGGTCTTCACGTGGACCTTGTATGGAGCCCTCTCAGCTTCGATGGCCCATCTGGTGCCACCGCTGGGCGGGACCTGTTGTCCCAATATATCTCAGGTAAGCTGAATCGACAACACTGCAGCCGTTTTGGTACCTGATTTGTACTGCTGTAGGGTCGAACACTACCGTTACCATACGGACACACGAGAAGAGCATTCCCGCACTACCAGGGCTAGGACGGGCGCTTTCAAGACTGAGTTTGGACGTGCAGATTCCTCGTATCCCTGTCCCTCAGGCACCGGGACACGAGCCTGATGCGGGCAACGGGTCTATGGGATTCATACAGGGAGCTACGGTATTTTCCACTTTCATGGATCTCGTCCTTTTGTTATGACGATGATGACATTGGATGCCATGTAACCCTTGATGTACTGTGTCATCATCGCGCCAACTCACATCGGCTTGGTGAAACTGACTAATGCGATCTGGGTGCTATTAGATGCACTTGTGGTCATCGACCGCCGAGTTCACACTGTCTTCGCCGTTCCCCAACACAACAATTGAGATTACTTCGATAGATGCTCAGGCGTTCTACCAAGCAGAGAGCGAGGAGGCAGAAGTCGGCTCCATCGACTACCGGATTCCGTTTCCAGTCCCTCCAGGCCTATCTGTGACTCCGCGATTGCCAGTAGATTTGAAGCTGGGCGGAATTGGCTACGATGCGTTGAGACGAGCCCTTGGCGGCTCTCTCCAGCTAGACGCCGTCGCGAAGGTCGGCGTGCAGATCCAGCATTATAGAGACTGGGTGGTGTATCATGGCAAGGGCATCAAAGCAAAGGTAAAGCTCTGATTTGGATTTTGTGGGCCATCGAGCCAAGTCGGAGTTTAGGATTCAGGAGTTTCTCTTCGGCATAGAAGTTTTGGTTTGGCACGATGCTGGAATGCTTTTCAGGTCGCAAAAAGAAGATGTCAATGGCGCTTCGCCACGAGTCTACTCTCATATCACAAGGAATAGTAACTTTCCGATAGCTTACCGTGGGCCATGCGCAAGAAAATGGCGCCGTGTCTCGGCTGCCTAATGACTATCTACTAAGTAACTGATCGCACCTACTTCACTCGATGACTCATAGCCCGACGAGTAGGAAAACCCAGCCGAACAGCTTCATGACGTAGCATTTGGAAAAGATACCTTAGCACAAGCAAAATGACCAATTTACAGGGAGCGCAGTCTGCTTCGAGATAGAGAGAAAAGGATACAGCTTGGCTTTTTTTTTTTCATTGCAGGATATTCGACGTTGGATATTAGAGGATGGACAATGTTTAACCAGGGGGAAGGGTGCTAGCGTCGACAACATCGGCGGCATCCTTCTCGAGCTCCTCGGTAGGCTCAAAGAGAGGAGAACGGGGAAGGGCCATCAGACCGGTGCGAGTGGATTCGAGGACACCGAAGGGAGCGATGAGCTTCATGAAGGAGTCGATACGGGAAGGCTTAGCCGAACTGTTTGTTTTGAGTCGGATATTAGTTTCCCAGTCGTTCGTTTCACAATGAAAAACCTCTACAGGAATGACTCACACTTCGACAATGCAGTTGTTGGTACTGATATCCAGCACCTTACCCCCGAACTGGTGAGTCAGGCGGGTGATGGCATCGAGATGCTCGTGCTTGTGGCGGAGGGCCTGGCTGTGCGGCAGGTTGCGCGGGTGGAACTCGGTCTTCGCGATCTGCTGCTTGGCGTCGCTCTGGCCCGGCTCACCGGGGGTGGTGATCTCGCGGTGGTGCTGGAGCAGCTCCTCGAAAAACTCGGGGCCGAGGATGCTGACCTTGGCGAGGAGGAGCTCGCGCTGCACGAGCGCCGAGTCGGTGTAGTCCAGCACGGCCCAGACGGGGACCAGGTCGTCCAGCTGGCGGCGGGCCTGCTCGACGACGCCGTCCTGGCCCTGCAGGACGATGGTCATGCGGGACAGATCCTCGACCTCGGTGTTGCAGACGACCAAACTGTCGATGTTGAAGCCTCGGGCCGCCAGGATCCCCGACACGCGGGACAGCACGCCGGGCTCGTTCTGCACCAGACAGTTCAGGATGTGGCGCTTGGGCGGGTTCGTCGGCACCGAGGGCGTCTCGTACAGGATCGACGAAACCGCCGTGGGTGCGTCCCACTGCGGCGAGGCATCGTTGACGGGCAAGGGGAGGGGAGAGCGGCGGTGCAGCGCCTTGTAGGCGAGCGCGGAGGTGGAGCTGGACGAGGCCCGGAGGGAGGAGGTGGTCGTTGTGAATCGCGGAAGCGTAGCGGCCAGGCGCGAGGTTCGGCTGGCCACAGCGAGGAAGGGCGTCGATGACGCTGTCGCAGACAGCATCACGGGGCGCCGGAATGCCATGATCGCCTGAGGGGAGTAAAACAGGCTTTCAAGGGGAGGGCGAGGATGCAAAACCGGGGGATCGTGAGTTAAGTTTCGCAGTCATCGATGGGCAATTGGCATTTTATGTCGGGGCCGCCTTCCGACCTCGGGGTTGCTGACTCAGTCCTCCGTTCGC